ACATGGGCTCAGAGTATGGGTAATTAGAAAGAGAAATGAATGAAAGATGTTCATTTTGAGGATAGAAGGGCAAAGCTGATAAAAGAGGAGTAATTCCCCTCATTCAGTGTCCACAGCTCTTAATGCACACAGAGGGGCTCAGCTTTGAAAGAGCCCAGGCTTTCTTCCCTTTGTTGTAACTGCCAGTCATGTTAATGATCAGTTCGGTAGGAATAACGTGATCAATATCAGACGTAGTCGAGGGGTTGGTGATTACAGGGATGGCAGAAGATTATCAGGCTGTCTACCACTATTGCCAGACAGGCTGTGAATTTGCAGCTCTGCACATAATGCATGTAGATAACATGAAATGGGAGGTGATGCTAAAACACATTACACCAAGCGCAGGGTGACAAGATATTTATGAAACATCTGTTTTGTGTAGTAGTCATTACAAGTGGTGTAAATGTGCATTTCATGTGAACGTATACAGGGAGCCTGTGTTCCTGAGCTCAGCCTGGAGCACTGTGCTCTGAATTAGCCTCAAAGATCTGCACTTGTTTTTAAAATGAGATACTTATCAGAATGACCGGAAGATTGGCTGCCATATCACCTCTGTAAATCTCATTTTGGTGAGCTACTGCATATTCTACTGCATACCTTAGAGACAATGCTAAACCAACTTGTACCATAGAAATGTAATTTACTTTAGACTAAAACTACTTAAATACATTTATAGGGATTTTGGAGAGCAATAAAAGGCCTGTAGGCTTATTACACAACAAGAGTGAACATTGATGACGCTTGTCTCCACTATTCAGGTTAAACTATGCATTAAATAAGTTGCACAGGAATACTTAAATCTGTTTAGCCCCATGGGCATTTTAGTACGTATTGCCATTACAGCACTGAGATTTTATAGGGAAGTAAGGCAGCAGTTTTATTTAACTTTGACACTTACAAGTCAGCATTAAAACACTTACCACAAATCAAATGTCCCGTTACAAATTTAGTGAAGTTATCCTTTATTGATCCCCATAGGGAAATTCACTACCCATCCTAAGTACTGGGAGCACTAGGCAGCCACAGTGCAGTAACATGTATGTTAAAAATCAAACATAAATCTTCTTTTAAAAGACCCTACGAAGCTAGTAATTCTTGTATATGTTAGGGTCATACAGTTCTTGAATCTGAATTCTATTCAATATATATTGTCCACCTTCTTTCTAAAACACACAAAGTAGGGGCAGTTAGAGGAAAACACACTAATGCTGAGAAAGGGGGTTTCTCATTGATTTTCTTGATTAAAGAACTACGGTGACTGCAAAAAACGTGTGTTTGGTTTGTCTGTTCTGGGCTCCTGTAGAAACCTGCTCAGTTCAACATGGTGGCCTACGTAGGAGGGGACTCACTCCCTCTGTAGATAAAAACAGCTCATTCTAAGATAACAAAAACACAATGATTCTTATTTTCAGGTGATTATACAATAAAGAAAACATACCTATGAATATTGTAATTTATTTCTGCCAAAGGATTCTGAATGTTACACACTGGACCTTTAAGTGTAAAATAAGATCTTGTTTAGGAAGCCATGTCTTCAGAGGTAGACCATCATCAGGACACAATTAATTGATTCTAGAAGTACAGCAGGGCTTTGACACAGAGATGCCTTTAAAGAAGATGGAGACAGGATGGTGAAATGGTCTGTATTTTTAGTATTCATTAAGACTTTCCAAATACAATTTCACACCATCTAGCCATTCATATCACCTGGATGGAAAGATCATATTGAAAACTCTCCCAGCAGCAGGAACAGCGTGTGACCTCTCTGTTCTACAGTGGTTTTAGGGGTGCTAATGGAGGACATATGGGGGCTGAATCTGCACTAAAATACTGTCAGGAGGCACAAGGGTCCTTATGTGCCTTGCTGAAATTACATTTCTGAGGTGCAGCGAGGTGCGGCAAAGACGCACTCATGCTGCTAGAAATAGGATATAATGCTGCTATCATCCAATGGCGGGGTGTCTGGGACACAAAGACAGACAAAGCAAATTTCAGTAGCATATGGTGAAGAAACTGCCTGTTCTCCATGGACGTCTAATTAACGTGAAGTTCTTGAATAAGTCCCCATGAGCTGCAGACCATAACAATCACCAGCTGAAATAAGATGTGCAGTCTGTAGCTGGCATACTGGATCAGCCGTCATCCTCACTGCTGCACTCCGACATCTTACTGATGAGTAATGAAGCAAGTGTGCACACACCTCCTTGCTGGTTCTATATTGGCCCCCATTTCTCCTCCAGAAAGAGTGTTTCTGTAGTCTTCCCTCATGCAGGGATATTTGGAACCAACCACATTTTCCCCAAAAAAGGTCCTAATTTGTCAACATCCCAACACCCAGCTCTGCTATTTCACAACTGTAATCCTGTGTAACAGTTCAGACAGCCTAAAAGCCGGTATGGCAAACATCATGAAAGGCTAACAAAAATACCAAACAGATGCTGAGATTTGGCTTACCCCACGACCTAAAAATAACTCGACTTTGATAGGAATCTAGGCTACAAGTGGTGATGAGTGTGTACCCTGCCAGTTACACAGTGTTGTATGATTTTCACCGGATGGGTTTTCCTGCTTTTTGTACTTAAAAACGCACACTAATTCCTGACAACTCTATAGCAGCATTATTTTAGACCCTAAGCAGAAGAATATTACACTAAAATCTCCCAGACCCCTGACACCACATCTTTAAAGTCCATCAAACATGTCAAGTGAACACAAGAGCTCTTGTCTTTCTTCAAATCAACACTTAACAGTCCAGGATCAAAGAGTGTAGTCCCCCTTTAGGTTCAACAGCTACTGTCCACCTTGTATTCAGAGTTATTAGGCCATGAAGGTATCATAAAGCTATGGGATACTGTTTCCAGACCCTTAGGTAGGGATGCATCAATATATCAGCCAATATTCGTCTTGTTGACTGACATCGGCCTATTGGCTGATAAGATGGTATTCACTGATATCACTGGTGTTTGTTGTTTTGCATCAATTTTGCGTTGGCTAAATGTTGTGTTTATTATTTCCAACGTGAATAAAGGCAAAATAATCACCTGCGTTTTACACAACTGGCCTAAACTGCACGCAAATACAGATGTGATCCATGTACACAGTGAGTCAGCTCTGCGTCTCACATGTTGGATGAGACAAGAAATAGAACTGCAACAAGGCAGAGACATTTATCTTTGTAGACAAATTTGTTGGGCACAAAAGGTTGAATAAATAACAAAAAAACCACACAGAATTTCACAATTGGTGCATCTCTACTGTACTTACTTTCTTTGACTTCACTACTGAGTCACTTGATGACTGCAGTGACATTTCTGTCTCCTGTTCTCCATTTCTACTGTTTCTACTTCTACTGTTATCTGTCAAGAGGGCTGTTGCTCAGGAGAAATGCTAATTTATCTTCGGCCTCTGCACAGGAAACATTGGGGAATCCCTGTCTCAGACTGCAAGCACAACACCACTGATGACAGACAGAGGGTTGCTGTGAGTGCTTCTCCTTTGTAATATGAAAGCATTTACACACAAATCACCACTTCTCCACTGAATGAAAGACTCCTCCAGATGTGGAGCAGAGAGGTGACTGGGTTCACAGTCAAAGCTGACCTGAGCTGAGGAGGCCACTCACTGCCTGCTCCTCCCTGCTGGGATATGCAGCCATGAGCTCAGTCAGTGTTTCAAAGTGCCAACTGCACAGGTGCTGCATGTTAATGTGCTTCCCGAATCCGCTCCCATATGCTGCATGTAGTTTCTGTGCATGCAGTGAGGCGATACTGAAGCCACTGTTTTGCTGTTACACTTGCAAAGGCTTCCACAACAACACATTTGACTTCATGTGGAGGGCACACGGCGGATGAGCGGGCTCTTACCTCCAATGTTGGTGCGCTTGGTACAGCCGGCCTCCTCCGCCGGAGTTTCCAGCGGTCGTTTGCGGGAGTCCGGGTTATCAGTCTCCATGAGGGGCTGCTGCAGGCTGTGGAGGTTAGGGTTTGAGTATATCCCGTTATGGTCCACGGCTGCTCCGCCACCACCGGCCATCATCATCTTTTCTCCCCCGGAGCTGTAGATAAATTTGCGCTATCCTCTCTCTCTCTCTCTCTCTCTCTCCCTCTCTCTCTCTCTATCTCTCTCTCTCTCACACACACACGCAGCGCCCTCACTACCACATAGCCCGATAACGCGCACCGCGATATGAACGACAAGTTTTGGGGGGCTCGAAACGGTCTCAAAGGGATCAAAATGTCAGACAACAGCGGGATCGGGGTCTCCTCTCTCCGCTGCTCGCCCTGCGCGTCGCTCACAGAGCTAAATATAAAAATCCCATTGAGTGAAAGGCGCTCATTTAACGCGCTCGCCGTCGCTCCGGCAGCATGCTCCTTATTGTTGACGCGCAAAACAACCTCGCGCCTTCAAACACAACAGCGCGAGAGGCGACCAGCCATTAAAACAAGTGCAACAGCTTCGCGGAGGCTCGGGGCTGGAAGGGGCTTTCTTAAGTCATCTCCCCGTCCTGTGTCCCAGTGGAGTGCGATAAGTGCAGCTGTTGTTATTGTTGTCTTTGTAGTGCGAGCGGAACAGAGTTTGAGAGCTCCGGAGAGGACCACAGTGCCACTGACCGGCCGAAACACGAGGCCAATACTGCCACTGCTTTAAAATGTCATCTCTGTATAAATAGTTGGATTGATATGACCTCCGTTTGCTGGACTGCCGAAATGTTTATTTGACTTTTTCTGAACCTCAAAATACAACACTTCAGGTAGAACGAGAATGATGTAATACTAAAAGCGCTGACCATGTCTGAGTAAAGTCATCTGATCTCATGGTCATTATTATTAGAAGTAAATAAATAAAAAGAAATAAAATATATGCCAATGGTGCACTTGTTTCCGCCTCTGTTTACTTAATTCAATATGAAGTGCGATTAATTCCACAAAGGGAGATCACAGTAACAACAGTACAACAAAAACAGTGAGAGCCGAATGTGTCATTTATTATTTCCAAATTACTGCACAGTATCTACAGCTCTACACTTTCTTCTACTGTTTCCTACAGCACTGGTTCCCAGCCTTTTTCTATCACTGTATAATCTGACTAAGTGACTTATTTTCTGTACATTTCATGTTATACTGTATGAATAACAATAACAGTAGAGAACAGCTGATAAAGTGTTCAATGAACCCAACCAGTGAACACAGTAACTGCAGGAGATTTGGATGAATTCTGAGCAGATTATTTAATGTGAATATTGATCACAGATGAGTTTTACTGATAATATTAGTAACTTTTTTTTTACAATCCTCTATTATTTGTTATTTTTAAATATTTAACAGTCATACAGACTTCTTCTTGGACAAATTCAGTGTTTTCTTGATGCCTGTTCACTGTTTTATGCTCTTCAGTTGTTTTAGTTTTCCTAATGCAGGATGAGGCTGTTTATGAGAGACTGAAGGCTCTCTGAATATATCTTGTGTTCAGGTCTTCAAAGTTTACATCTTGAATAATAATCTATACTTTAAAAATTACAATTTCATTTAGTTTGCTCAAGAAAAAAGTATGAAATATTAAGATATAGTCCTTAAAACCCCTAAAAATCAAGAAACCCCCCCATGAAGCTTTGGCGACCCTTAGTGGGGGTCCCAGTCCCTTGGTAGGGAACCACTGACCTAGAGTCGGTGTTCAACCACATGGCAGTGTGTTACTGTTTCAGGTGGCAAATGTGATGTTTGATTCTCTAGCTATGTTCACACTGCAGACAAAAGTGACCCAAATCAGATCTTTGTGTGCTCATATGTGACTCACATCTGTTTTTTTTTTCACGACAGTGTGAACAGCACAAATCACATTGAATCTGATCTTTTTAGTTTTTATTTCATATGTGGCCCTAAGTCAGATACAGGTCTAATTTTTTTTGCAATGCGGCCTCAGTCACATTTCAGAATTCATGTGACTTTTACATCACTCTGGATCTACATTTGTCACAGTTCTGTGCTGGCAGGAGTCACTCAGCTGCAGTGGAGGCAGTCAGTGGAGGGACAGTGATAAGTATTTGGGGTGACAGTTATGTACAAGCAAAACTTGGTAACTGGTCTGTGTTTGCTCTGACTCAGCATCACACACACCTCCATACGAAAGAGGCAGTGTTAGCTTCACAAACAGCCTTAATTCAAAATGTGTCTCTCTTTCTCCTTGTCTCCGTCCTTGTTATCATCTGCTCACTGGCTGGCTTCCACTGCACATCAACCTATAAATGAAACCGTACACGTATTCTGTGGCTTCCATTTCCAATATTAGAATCTGGAATCTGATACGGGCCACATTTTAAAAATAATGTGAACAGCCAAACAAAAAAAGTCAGATATGTGCAATAAATCAGATTGAGCACTTGCAGTGTGAAGGTAGCCTAAATGTGACTGTTCAGGAACACACACCCCTGAGGACATCCTTCACATTACACCATCACTTCAGTCTGAACCATCGGGACTTCCACATGTAAACAAAAGGCACAGTGTTTCTTAATTTGATGGTGTCTGCGCTGTAAACTCCTCTTTCTGAGCTGGAGCACCCTTATCTTCTCTGTCTTGAACCTCGGCTGACTCCATCTCAGAGCCGGCTGTCAGCGCTGACACCCTCTGGGCAAGCCGCTCAAGGACCAAATCAGCAGTGCTGGTAAGAGTGTGCTGAAAAGACAGGAAGCAAAACAACACAACATCAGATATCAATAAAAAATATCAATATCAGCTCTGAGCTTTGCTTCAGAAATACCACAGCAGTTGTCCTGGTGAGGTCTGTGCTGAGCTGATACTGGATGTGTGAGGGTGACAAATTTATCGTTATAGCAGATCACGGTAATACGTTTTCTTTGGGGTTTGATAAAGTTTCTGGAAAATTATGCTACAAGAGCCATCACATGATAGCTGAAATTTTACAGGAGCAAAGCAAACAAAAATAATTTTATTAAAGTCAATTATGTCTTTATTAGATAATTGTGCTGTTAGTTCTCAAGCTGATATGGTTCTTATTCGAAAATGGACAGTTTCTGACAATTACAGTCCACTGCAGATGAAGGGAACAGACAAAGTAGGCAAAAAGGGCCCCTAAAATCAGGTCTTTCAGTTCTGCTGCAATTGCTTCTGATGGCCAGTAGAGGTCAGCAATGACTTGATGCTTGTTTCAATTCACCTCTCCATTAGAAATAAGATCTTTTCTCAGGTCAAGAACATGCTTTTGTGTTGACATAGTAAGCAGATGAAGTATTCATCCTGCTGATATACATTCATTTTTTTTATATTTCATTTATATATCTGATCCAGGACTGTGATCACAGGGTATATAGTAGGATATTATTATTACAGAATGTATAGTAATAACAAAACAAACAGCACAGTAAAGTATAACAAATGTAACTCAAATAAAGGAAGAACATCATTCAAAAAGGCACCTAGTTTACAATGAACTTCTGGCTTATCTGACTGTGCTGATCAGCAGCAGAGAGGCACTGACCCTGGCAGGAAGTGACCTTCGTTAAGACCAGCGTAAGACAGCTTTCTGCTACGTACCTGTAAGATATGCAGTCCCTTTAGTGTGAGGACAGCCAGCTCTCTCAAACCGTCCCCAGTCAAGTCTAGGTAGATGATGGACAGCAACGGGCTCTTGAAGCTCCGCCTCCACTGCAGCTGAAACTGTCCGTCTCGTCCGCTACCTGCCGGCTGGAACTTGTAACAGAGAAGTTCCTGCTCGGCAGAGAGGAAGATAAAATTGCCATCATCAGGATGTGACCACATCAGTCTGTAATTCTAATTAGATGCCTGAAAGGTGACGTCAAGGGTGGAGGTCATTGATTTGTCATTATACAACACAAGGTTGCACAACAAAATGGAAGAACATATGAAATAAATAAAAAATAAAATAAACCTAAATATACAGTTATTTATATACATACACGTATACACCTATGAAGTAGTTCTATAGTGCATTTGTGTAGGATTTCATGTCTTACTATGTCAGGTTCCATCACGTTCACTTGCTCTGGACCTGCTGTATATCATTTTGTTTTTCGTTTTGTGCGGCTTTATATAACCATAAATATGATTTGATGGTTTTCCTCTAACCGTAACATTAATTTGGCCACAGCACAAGCTAAAATAGAATTCAAAAAATTCCAGGACAGCATAAAATATTCCTGGATATTTGGTCATTTTAATTAATTTCCAGATGTTTCCATGACTGGAAAACTAGTCTCTAAATTTGCATGTTTTTCAGGTTTTCTAGGATGCGTGGGAACCCTGTTTTTTTATTGTCAACAAATCCCATTAAAACACCAAAACAAACAATGAATTCAAACCCTGATATATCTTATTCCTCTGTGCCATAGAGCTCCATTGTTGTCCAAAAACACATCAATAAGCCAAACTATTGCACTGGGCGACATGAATCCCACATACTGCTGCTGCACATACTCACTCGAGCCCCAAATGTGGATTAATCACCGCTGAAAATAGTCCACAACAAATGCACAATGTCCTCCTGTTTGAGCAATGTTTGTTCAAAACTACAGTTCCCAGCTGTTTCAGAACAATAATAAATGACTGAGCTCATATTTAAAAGACTTATGTCTACATTAGGGACCAATGGCCTTGGAGCTGAGACCCACAAACAGGCTGAGGAAGTCAGAAAGTACTTAGAGATGGACAATACTACTACAATATAAAATATAAAATGTAGTATATCATCAGATTTATTCTTTAAAGTCCATTAGTAAAGAGGAGCTCTGACCTGCCCATATGTTCCCAACAGCACCTCCTTCTGCCCGTCAAAATCCAGGTCAATGACCAGAGCACAAAGCACTGCGTCCCATTGGTCACTCTCTGAGAGGCACACCGGGTGAGACAAGCCTCGCTCCTGGACATCTCTGAGAAAACATACACAACAAATACACAGTCCAGAACTCAGCCCAGAGCCATTTTCCCAACCACAGAGATGAAGTATGAGTGAAAATTCTACACTGACATCTTTACAAAGTTATCTGACCTGTAGACAACTGCCATCTCTATAGTGCTGGTTACCAGAAGGTTGTAGCCTTCCGTTTCCACACCTGAAAAAGACAAAGACAATCCCCAGTGATGGCCAGGCATAAGTCACGCTGCAGATTCAAAAAGAAAAAAAATGAAGAAGAGAAAGACAGGGATACAAGTCTTAAGATGTGAGACTAAAAAAGTCCAGTAACATACTTTTCCCTCTGCTGGGCTGGTTGGGCTCAGCTGGGCAGCTCAGAGGGAACAGCAGCACTGTAGAGATTGGACTGTCAAACTGGAACCGCCAGCTCTGCAAAACCTCTGATAAAAAAACAAAAAAACACACAACATCCTTCAAACACACCGTGGAATAGTCCTATAGAGCAGTGATTCCCAACCTTTTTCCTTAAGGGACCCTTGAGCAATTCCATTTTATGCTACTTTATACTTCAACTCCACTACATTTTTTTGACAGCTAGCTATGTTTAAGATTTGGATGAAATAGAAAATATAATTCAACTAATAAATGATGATACATTACTATAGGTTAAACAACCCAGCAGTATAAGGAATTAAAATGAGTCCCACTTTTACCAGCTAGAACATGAACACATCACTATAATTCAGCAATATAATATACATTATTCTGAAATGGGTGCATATTGAGTACTTTTACTTTTGGTACTTAAATAATATTTTCATGCTACTACTTTTGTACTTTCACTTAAGAGTTTGAATGCAGGATTTTACTTACTTAATAAGTCATACACACTAACCCAAACCCTAATGTTCGTTTACTGTAATTAAGAATTTGTAAAGTCTCTGCACAGCCACACCCACACACACAGCTGATTGTTATTATTCTGTGTACTGTACACTACATTTACTGTCCATCAGGGCCTGGATTCACAGTGTGAAATGTAGTTACCTCAAGAATCTCCACAATGGAATGAAGCCAGTAGTAGCCGTAACATACTACTTTCTGCTAGCAATCCCACAATGCAATGTGTCACATTTGTTGCCTTCAAACTCTTGAGTTTGTGGTTACGACATGAGAAGTTGTATACACAAACTTGTACACACCGATTTTTTTATCACAATGTTGTGATTACCCTTGCCCTGCGTTGGGCATGTCTTTGAAGGTAATGTTTCCTAAACTTTTTTTTCTGGGGACCAACTATTAAAGGTCCAGTGTGTAACATTTAGTAGGAAACATTGGCAGAAATTGAATATACTATTCTTTTTAAATGAAACAAAATTAATGAATTGAGGTTAACATGTTCTTTGTTTTCTCAGTAAGACAGAATGTGCTCTTAAGTTTATGAGACAAAATATGTGCATTTAGGAAAAGTTAAGGCTCTTGTTTTTTTACCTTGTCAGTAAAACAATTTGCACATTTAAAAAAATTAATTAGATAAAATAAATGCATTTCGGTTAGCAGGCTTTCGTTTTTTCCTCACAGAAGCGGTAATTTGGAGAACCCATCTCCTTTTTACAGAATGTACGCGCATGTTATAAATGAAACAAATGTGTGCATTTAGAAGAAGTATCTTGTTTTTCCATCATCAGCCAAACACATTTACACATTTATATACGACCCAGTCTCTTGGAATGAATGTTCTAAGGTGCCGGTGAGACATGAAATACAATCCAGGAAATCCAGCTGGAGTAAGTCCCTCTTTATTCTGTGTTTGGTCTCCCTCACCTGGTCCTGTCTGGTCGACCAGAGCCAGTCCAACGCAGCCGCTCTGACAGCCAAAAGCTGAGAGTCGCCGGCCACCCGATATAGTCAACACATCCAACCACAGCACACTGCATGGAGGCCGGGGGAACACAGAGGGTTATCGGTTATACATACAGTTAGTTAGTCCTTACTGACAGCAGTGACATGCCGCTTTTTGCCTCCAGCTTATATGCAATATCAATGATTGCCAAAGTGTACTGTCTTCATTATGTGTCTTACTCCTCTTTTATTTGTCTTTTATAGTGCTGAGTCTGGTGGGCGGTAGAGCCCAATTGTTTTAGTCTGAGATGCTGGTGCTCCAGTGCAACATCTAGTGGCACTGAATGCCGTATATATAACCTTCAAATTTAGAATTCTTGTATATATCAGCCCCACAGGCTGAGCATGAACAGAACTGTTTTTTTGAGTCATTATTTGATAATAAATAAAATTGGAACATGCAGGAAAATCCTGAGACTGATTAACAAACAGAAATGAAGACACTTACAAGTTGCTGCTGGTCTCAATCAACCAATTAATCACCACACACAATCAAACACCAACAGATACAGAGCAAACAGAGCCAAAGGAACGTAGACTAACTTGCTTGGTAGCTGTTGTAGTTCAGGGAAGAGTCTCTCCACTGGCTGCTCCTCAAACTGGTGGAGGGAGGCGTTCTGTTGGAAACAGGAGAGTCGGGCTAAATGGTGCTCTGATCAATCAAAGTGAACAACTCAACTACAGAGGTGCAAAACTCATGACCATCTTGTTTTGTCTTGCGAGAAGACAATAGTCATGTAATGATCTTTTGGTATATTCAATGGTAAAAATACCATAGGAAATATTTTAAGATATAAAGACATTATACACACAAATCATAAATATAGAGATAAAGAAGAAGAAAGGAATAAATCTACATTATATATATCCGATTAGAATCACACACACACACACACACACACACACACACACACACACACACACACTTGGTTCTAGTCTCTGATCTGACCTCCTTGTACAGGTGGATCCTCTGGTCATGACCACTGAGCAGGAATACTGTCTCTCTGCCTCCATCGTCACACTGCACTCTGACACAGAGAGAAAAGGTTGCTGACATTTATTATCCAGATACAGTCATGTTTCTGGCTGCTGACAGACGTGGCCATAGAGACAATAAAATCTAATTCATAAGTACTTTTATAAAGCTATTTTTATAAGCCATTTATAAGATGTGAAACATCAGCAGTGGCACATTTCATTTAAAATGAAACAGTGATACACACAGAGACATTAGGTAATAACAGCAGATTAAATGAGATAAGATCGTTTTCAGTAAGGTAAAAGCTCAAGAATATAAAAAAGTGAATTACATTTATTAAATATTAAAAGCAGTATATTATAAAGTAGTGTAAATGTATTTTATAGGATTCAGTACACAGCTGACATTTTAACTTGTTAAGTAGCTGGAATGGAAGTATGTTGTTGGGCTGGTACTGTGTTTTCGGTTGTTTTAGTAATATTTATTTATTCCATTGCATCATTTCTATTCACAAAGTCACCTCAGAACATTCAAGTGTGCATTTTGTTTATTATTGACACTTGTGATCTACCTGCTCTAGACGCCATGTTTTATAACCACAGTGGGAATGTAAGCATTTACTATACTTACACTTTAACAGCTTGCCATGCAAAGCAAAGTCTGTCCACTGGTTTGTAATGACTCCACTCTGTTGCTGTTGTACTTGTCACAGTAATGTGAGTGCAGTATTTTGTCCATTCTGGGATCCTGAGGGAATGGTGACTCCTCACAGCTGATTGGTCAGGAGTTGGATCTTTATACGTTTGATCTGTCATCCTGAGCAAACCTTGTACTTGCAGGTTTGGCCTGCAGTGGTGGTTGCCATGGCAACTGAACTCAGTGTGAACTTGGTTTGCGCTATCTCTGAGACCGAAAAAGCCAGGGTTTGCTCCTGGATGTCTCTGCCTTTAGTATGTATCGCTCATTGGTGTATATCACAGCTCTGCAGCAGCAGACTTACTCTGTGTGGTACAGCTGGAAGGGCGTGAACTGCAACTCCAGGTTCAGGCAGCTTTCTGTTCAGAGACACACAGTAACATCAGCATCTGGTAGCAAAACCACCGTACACATCAGGACACAGCTTCACTCACGTGCAATAGACTCCAGGTTGAACTCTGATCCGGGCTCATAGTCACAGTAGATATTCAGGAACGGTGTGGCTTTGTCACCAGAGTCCTGCAGGAGTTGAGCCATAATTAACAATGCTTCTATAATTGTAGAAAGGATTTACAACCTTTACAGTAAAGTTTAAACATGCTACATTGTGAGCTTCAATATGAAAATATACCTTCACGAATGTGATGCCCACCACCAGACCTCTTTTGGGTGGAGACTTGTTGAAGGCATCGATTGATACGATCTCTGCATCAACTAGATAAAGAAGACAGGATCCAGTCTTTATGCAGCACAGCAGCAGCACACGATTCAGGACTAAATTAGTTACAAAAACTGCATTACTAAAAATAACTCTGACTAGTATACTCTATTCTTCAGATATTTATTGGGCCAAGACTTTGTTGGTTTAGTTTATAGATTATTTGAGGGAGAAAATAATTTTTTATCAAATTTTACTAACTTTCATACTCCCACCTTATTTAAAGTTTAATAACAAGAAAATAACAGTGGAGGAAGGTATTATTTTACCTGGTGGTGTAATAATTAATGTGCAATAGTTTCAATAACTATAATCAAATTCAGATAGGTTTACTATCCCAATAAACTTATCCAAACAACCTGCAACAGTTAAATACACAGGATCTCTTTGGCTACTGCAGTTGTTGGGAGGTTTAATCTGTAACAGCTACAGGACATACAGTATTAGAATTCATATTCCATGTCAACCATATGGTTCAGGTCTTTCAATATGTTTAACTTATTGGGGAGGATAGCATGATTTAAGACTACAGAGGTGGACAGGGATTCAGGACAGGAGCAATCACTGCTCAGCACATCTGGAAAAAGACAACTGAACCCAACCCAACAACAAACAACTTTATTAAAGAATATTTTAATTAAACATTCTTTAAGATGTTCAATAATTGTCCAATTGTACTTGACATTGCTATTGCTATTACTGAACTGTAAATCACAGCGCACTCTGCTGGACAAACCTTGCAGTGACACCAATAGCACATTCTTCTGCATTATATACCAGTTTAAAAACAGTCTTCATATATCAACATATATGCATACAATACCGATATGTCTGCTTACTTAACTTACCCTAAATGCATCACATCACTGTGCTTCCTGCAATAGTTAATACAGTAGTACGGCTGGGTTGTTTAGCCTATATCAATGCAACTTTAGAAGCTCATCATGTGGTCTGTTCGTAAAATATGAATCAGCTAAGTAACTAGTGACAACAGCTGTCAGATAAATGTAATGGAGTAAAGGTAGCCTCAGTGAAAGGACCTCAAATGTGCACTTGGTTGCATCATACCACTATGTGCAGGTGTGTTCGTATTACGTCCCTGCACATGGTCTGAACATAATCAACAACATTGATATGATTATTATACAACTATAGCAGACCACATTCCACTGACCCATGTCCCATTTGATCTTAAAACAATAATAACTCTCTATAATATCCCCAAAGGGCCAGTCAGTGTATAGTCCCTGCTGTGTTCTAGGGACGGTGTCATGGTGCACTATAATGTCACGGTCTGGAGGTTTTACCTGGTATGTAGGTGAACTGAACCTCTTTGGCCACAGGTCGGATTTTCTGCTGCAGCTCCTGGTACCTGAAACACACCACCTTCCCTTTGAGAGTGGCCGCCAACAGCTCCTGCTCCCCGGCCTGACACAGCCCGTAAACGTTGCTCTGCGACGGGAAGCGGCTGAAGCTGTCCTCCACGAACGGATACGACTCTCGGAGCATCCTGAAGGACTGAAGGACGGAACTGAACTCACTGTTTGTTATCAGAAGAGTCAAGAATGAGAATGAAGACTGCTCATGTTCGCTGTGTGGCTGCTCTGCTCTCCAACTACATGAGATTTCCGTCATTCATTTCAAAATTGTTGCTAACACTCAGAACAAACAGTTTATTTCAAATGAACGACGGGTCCAGTGATAACCGGTGTTATTCTGTGTGGAAGTACGGTGTCCGGTAGTTTCACTGACTCCAAACAGCTCGAGCAAACTGACGTGAAGCAAAACATCCGGGTTGGGTAGAAGGTGCGTTCACGTGTGTGGGGTATCTAGCATTGAGTACTTCTAAACGAACCAGTGAAGAGGAAAATCAGGCTTTTCTAGACAAAACAGCATTCAAATAAAAAAAATTAGGCTATCTCCAATTTCACCAAGTAGATTTCCAGTTTCTTTTACTCTTAGTTTTTTATGTATTTTTGTTTGTTTTGTTTGCATGTCTTAATCTGTCGCTAAAACGTAGCTCTGTGCTGATTGGTTTTAAACAGTCTTCCACCCTGATACAGAGTGACTCTGGTCATTATCTTCCGGGTAAAACAATTAGAATCCGTAACATTAACCGGTTGTGGACGTCTGAATGTGTCCTGTAATTCCGCCCCCACCTGAGGCTCTGAAAGCAGCACGCCGGTTTTCTTCTTCATGTTATTAATTAATGACAGATTCCATCATCACGTGCACAATGCTGCCATCTACCGGCAGTCTCTGCTACATCGCAAAATACTTTTCATTTACAGGTGATTCTGGTATTAATAATGTTCTACTCTGACTTCCAGTCTATCTCTGCTCACTTATTCTCTTCTTTTTATGCATTTCTGGCTCTAAATCACTTATTTATTATTTACATTTACAATGTGCACTGTGCTAAAAAATAATTGCATTCTCAACACCACAGCAAACCTCTCAGATACAAGAGTCAAACCTGATAGTACAGATAGTTCTACAATACTGTTAGTGTTAATATTATTGTATGTATTTAATAGAATGTAAACATACCATTGTGAGCTCAATAATCACATTCTGTGTATACAGAGGAATATGATTAGAAAGATAAATGTTGTCATTAGGACTGCTTATTCAGCAACATCTATACAGCCCACCTACAACCCAGTCAGTCAGATCACTGACAGTTAATGATGTTTGTCCAGCAGATGTCAGTGAAAACTCACTCATCATGTTGTTGAAGCGACTGTAGAGGAAAGCTGTACGTTGCCCTCCTGCTGGGCAGCTTTACCCCTCAGCAGATGCAGGTTGTCTCAGAGACCTTTTAAAGAAAATTCGCATTTAACTGATAAATACTGTGGTGACCTTGAGGAAATTATGGTCCAAGCTTCTTCTGTTATCATGTCATCGTCATCTGTTAGGCTTTCTCTTACCCAGTCTTACGTGAGTAAATAAGCAAAATAGTGTCACAGAAGATTTTTGGATGAAACATGCACTCCCAGGCGGTCTGTTGCCAAGCCCGGGTTCAGTCTTGGCTCAGCCTAAACTTGACCTTGTGCCTGCCTTAGCAGCCAGTGCTTCTCCTTCACTGCAGCAGAGGAACCTGCGTGTTTCCTCACAAGAACTCTCACATCCTCATCCTCACCAGTGTTATCACAATTAATTGGGAATTCAGTGGCAGCCATGGAGAAACACATTCATAATGATGTGAATTTCAGGAGTTCTGTTCCCATCTGTTCTCTAGTCACTAACATTTAATGGAATTAGCTGGCTGAGATACCAACAACAAACAACAGCAACACAACTTTAAGGACGGAGTTGTGACTCAGAAGCCAGACCTAGCTCTCTGAAATAAGGCAGCAGGGTCTCTACTATCAAAAATATTTGATTTATGAGAAGAAGAAAGAAGAAGAAGAAGAAGAGCTCAGCTGTGACTCCTTTGAACAACAGTTTGATTGAATTCTAATTCTACACTTTACCACTGCAAAGCAAACAAGCACTGAGACCTGTACTTTATTGTTGGTATATTTCACTACAGCATCAGTAACAGGACTAGGGAGCCTCTTTGCATTCACATGTGATGTGAAATACCTTTTCACCAGTCTTTATCAGATAATAGAACAACGTTGCAGCATTGTATCACTGTCTGCTAACATTCTCTATCCTCAGGGGAAAAAAACCTGGTGTGTTAAAAAGAAAGTAGATCAAAAAGCTAGAAAACATCATTTGAAGCTGTCTCTGTTGTGTTACCAGCACCCATGAAAAGGTCTATAATAACATTGGAATACATCACTGGGCATTTTAAATGGGCCAGAGACTGACCAAACATTTCTGCACATTCACTTACGATACACGACATTACTGGATGGTTTTCCTATAGTTGTCACTTAATGTCCGAAAACCCTTGTTACACTGTCATCCTTGGGATAGACACATCATATAAAGGGTTATTTAGGGACAGAAAAGATTGTTGCATAAGATCTGTAATTCGTTTCCATCAAACCAAATACAGGGTTTCTGCAGATTTCAAGAGGTTAAATTTAAGACTTTTTATGACCTTTTTAACATCAATATGAATGCAATTTAAGACTGACAAAAAAGCACAAGAATATAAGGGAAAATCAGTATTGGGTCCACGGTGGCCTGTTCTGTAGTTGCTACAGCATGATCAATAAAAAACATTTAAAATTTAAAATCAACCTTCAGTTTCAGTTTCAATAAAGCGAGAAAACAACTTAATAACAACATCATACTTATTACAAAGCCACAATAGAGTAATGTCAATAATAATAATAATAATAATAATAATAATAATAATAATCCTGATATGCTGTAAGTTTGGGTTTAGAAAAGAACTGACTAAGAAGTCAGTGTTAAGGTTATATTTAAGTATCTGACATTAAAAACTTGAAGTGAAAGTATGAGTGAAACAGAGGGATATTATTGCCAGCAGGAGATAAACTTCTTACACACTTTTGATTTTTATGCTTTAAAGTCAAGCACTAGCTTTAAGAAACGTTCAGCTCATAAAAGCTAAAACACACACTCATTCATCAGTTCAGTGGATGTCGACCATCCCGCATTGTGTGTCACAATGTCCAGTGTGTGTGTTGCAGGGGTGAGGCAGACGGAGGTGAGGCCCTGTGAGCTGCTGCTCCATATTGTGACAGTTCAGAGGTGGCAGTGTGCTACACCCCCACTTCTCCTAATACCACCTGCTAATCCATCTGCAGGATTACTGTCCACTGTAATCACTCATCCTCCACACTGACACACCTCACCTCACACTGCAACTCCTGACTCATTACACACACACACACACACACACACACACACACACACACACGCACACACACACGCACACCAGCACACATACCTTGCATAAGAAGTGCATTGTGGCTGTAGTTTTTATGTTATGTGAATCAGCTTTACCAGCACTTTTAACAGTTATCAGAAATAATATATGATATGATAATACTGACTTTATTCATATAACTGCATGCAATGATGCACTGCCGAAAGTGCTTCACAACACAACATTACTGAGAGCAGTAGACAGTAGAAATGAAAATGAATAGTAACAATAAGTAAAATACTTAATATAATACCATAATACATCAAAAACAACAAAAAAACAACAACAGGGAAAATGATATAAATAGCAAAAATACAAACTCAGGAGCTGAGTACCCTTTGCACTTTTGTATTGTTTATACTTTATCATTGTTACTTTAACATTGAGAGCAACTTTAAGGGTCAAACTCCTTGTGTGTGTGTGTGTGTGTGTGTGTGTGTGTGTGTGTGTGTGTGTGTGTGTGTGTGTGTGTGTGTGTGTGTGTGTGTGATAATGTGAGTGTGGGATCATGGGGGCAGAAGTTTATGTTGTAAATCTGCCACATGATCTCAGGCCCTTGTTTTTCTATTTTTTTTATTTACTAATGTTTTATTGATTTCAAAAAAATGTATCTCCTTGAATGTGTACACATACTTGGCCAATAAAGCTACCCCAAAATTAAAAGCCACATTCAAAAGATACCAAGGGAGGTTTCCAAGTAACTAAGTACATTTACTCAAGCACTGTTTACTCAAGTGCAATTTTAAGGTACTTGTAATTCGCCAAAGGATTTCTATTTTATGCAACTTTATCCTTCTACTGGAGGGAAGTATTGTATTTTTTTCTCTGCTACATTTATTTTAAAGCTTTACTGCCCTACAAAGGCACAATAACAGAAGCAGTGAAGGGGTTTAAGCAGTGATGTGTCGTTAGTGAACGAGTTGGCTCTAAGACTCCTTCAAATTAACGATTGGAGCCAGTCCCTGTCTGAGAGCCGATTCCTTTCTTTTTCTTTAAATAAATAAATATCAGACTGAATAACATGATGATCCTATAGCGTATTTATTAAATATAATGCTGAAACATTTGACTTTTGGTAATAGCATAAGACTCAAGCAAATGTTGCACCAACATACAAAATATAGTTCAATATAAATAAAAATAAAATGTTTTAATAAGGTTTTTACCATAGTGAAAAATAATGGCTTCTAGGAGGGATAAGGTTTAGTAATTACAGTGAATAATTTATGTGATATGGTAAATGGACTGTACAGCGCTTGCAAGGTGCCAACTGCTCATCACAAACAGAAACTAACACATTCAAACACTGATGCACAGCATCAGGAGCAATTTTGGGTTCAGTATGTTGCACAAGGTCACAGTCACCTGATATATGTGCACACATTCCAATCATAGGTCAAAACCAGCTAAATTCTCTATATCTTCTGCTGTTTTCTTGTCTTTCTCCTAGTTTCTACTAGTTTTAAAATAAGTTTAAAGTTTAATTACAGAGGCCTGGAGTAACCTCAGTCTGTTCATGTTTACAAAGTGCTGCAGGAATGAGTCTTACAACTCGGAAAAGCATTTTAGTACCTCTGGTGCCCTATCCTCGAGGTCAGTGTGTTTTAAAAATGAAATGAGTCAAATAAGACTATAGAGGTTGTTGGCAACATTGAACGTCAGCACGCAGAAAATGAAGACTTATCTACTCACTAGTCCGCCTCTTACAAACTATTCTAACTCAAACTTTCCAACTTGTAGATTTTAATTACATTATCTCGATGAACAAAACACGTGATTATCATAAACCTTTGTTCGCAACTGAGCTTATTTTCTTTAATAATCCAAAATCTAATGGAAATATCCTGTTGGCTTGTTGTCAGAGGAACATGGCTGAGACTAACTTCTGGGGCTGGCCTTCAAAAAAACGTCGTCCCTGCAGCACTTTTCATCCAGTCATTAATACTACATGTCATTCATTCAGGACATATACTGTTGTTAACTGATACCGCTGACATGACAACACTAGAAAGCTATCAATTACCACAGATCGAAAATCATTTGGAGAAGGGATCTCTTCAGAGCCAGTGTGAAGCGGAGGAACAAGTACAGCAAACAATAACCCTTTAATGTACATCAGAGTCTGAGTGTAATGCTTTACGGAAGACATGTGAATCTATCCTTCGTGTTCAGCTGCACCTTCCTCCCTCACAGGGTCACACTCATTGACACAGGACATGTTCAATCTGCAGGTCATATTGGGCTTCGTGGTGACTCAGCAGGTTGAAGGTTTGCACATACTGACGAGGTCATGTGTCTGAGGCTCAGGGTGGAGCGCTGTCTAGCTGCCTATCACCTGTGTGGACTGCCTCATAAACAAGAAGGGCACTTTGAACTGAGTGTCGAAGATGGTGCTTGGTGGTGAAGTGGACTTTCGTGTGTGTGTCTGTGTGTGTCTGTGTGTGTGTGTGTGTGTGTGTGTGTGTGTGTGTGTGTGTGTGTTTGTGCGTCCAGTCTGACAGTATGGAGCTCCAAGTGGACAGGAAGGAGGGGCTGGTGGGGTCTGTGCTGAGCTGCTGGTGGCACCTGGTTTGCACAGAGGAGATTATTACAGTGTGTGTGTGTGTGTGTGTGTGTGTGTGTGTGTGTGTGTGTGTGTGTGTGTGTGTGTGTGTGTGTGTGCGCGTGTGTGCAGGGTGAGTGATTGGGGCTGACAGCAGCCTCTGTATTGCTGGCTGGCCTGCAGATTTAGCCGACCTGTTTTAGACACTCTAATCTGGATTAACTGCAGCAGTGTGTCAGTGGGGACCAGAACCAGAGCCTCCCCCACCCTCTGCCCCTTCACCTGCTTCTCCTCCATCCCTCTCACTTCCCCTCCCCTCCCTCCCTGTACCTGTTTCCCCTCCTCTCTTCCGCCTGACTCACATGGACCTGTTCTCTCTCTTATTCCCATCTTCCTCAGTTTTAAGGCCTGGCTCGGCCTCCAGTATGTTGAGCACAAACTGTTTGGTCTTAAAATAAAAACGCACGCTTGCATCATTCTGAGTGTGTCTCTGTGAGTCCAGCTTTAGGGGGGGAGGGCAGTCGGGCAGGGATTATACCAGCTCAGTCCTCTCCCCTACTTCCCTATTTGCTGTTGCAGCTGCAGGACGAGCTGTTCCACTATTGGGTGGAGACTGCATCGCCATCGCCACATCATCTGGACAGTGTTCGTCTAACATATATGATCTTTTTTATCAGATGAATATAAGTCACAAAAAATACTTTTAAGTCACTGATTGCAACTCCTCTTGTTAATAATTCTACAATATTTCAATATAACATATGTCCTAATGACTAAATGAAAAAGTAATTTGCAAATAAAATTCAACAATAAAAGCCAAAAAAATAAAGAAAATTTATTTTGGAAAAATTAAAAGCAGTCATAATTTAATGTCAAATTAAATTAGAGATAAAGTTTGTCAAAGGCTTTCAGAGCATTATATAATGTGCACAACAATGCATGCACACACACACACACACACACACACACACACACACACACACACACACACAAACACACAGTTCATAATACATATGCACATGTATCTCACTCATTCTCACTGTAGTCCATAAAAACAAAGTGGGAATCCCCTGCTTTCTCTTTACCCATTTCTATGTAACACTGTCTGTCTGTAGTTCTCCATGAGGGACTGCGGCTGTCTCCTTGCTCTGAATCCTCTGTCCACTTGCTCTTCCTTCCTCCACCTTCAACTCCTCTCGCAGCCACATTCTCTGTATCTTCTGCTGTTTTCTTGTCTTTCTTTTCCCCTCAGTCTACACACACCATCTCGTCCATTTTCCCCCATTTGTGCAGCAACACTTCCCTCCAGCCTCCTTTCCTGCTCCACCACTGAACGGATTGCTCTGTCTTTCCTCCCTTTATCTGGAGATAAGATACTTACTTTTCAGATAAAGCATATTATGATAAATCAAATGAGCTTTGTCGCTTTTGTGCATCTGGGTGTTTGGTGTGTGTGTGTGTGTGTGTGTGTGTGTGTGTGTGTGTGTGTGTGTGTGCCGCGTGTGTATGCAGCTGTTCTGGAGATAAATGTAATCTGTCAATTATGTGTGAATGTGTAGCCGATGCGAAGCAGGTTAATTGATCAGCAGGAGGAAAAAGGGGAATTGGCATTTTTATAAACATGCTGTGGGCCCCATTTATTGAACTTTGTTGAAAGCATATCACATTTTCTTATGCACCAGTATACACACCAGGTAGCCAGTTAGATGGATACATTTATATAATGTTATTCTTTTTTTAAACAGTGCTTAACCATAAGGTATATCAGGAATTGTCTACAGTCTTACTGTTTGTATATTTATTGTCACCGAGGCCTTGGTGGGGTGAGGGGGCTGGGGTTTGTTTTACTAATGTTTGATGTTGTTCTGTAATTGGCAATCTATGAATAAAGTTTGAAAAAAATAATTCATGATGTTCTTTTCTATTTCTTATAAAGATAAATAAATATTCATGGTTTGTGGCACAACATCGGTAGCTATATTTTGTCACATAATGCAAATTTTATTCTGACTAATGTTGTTTCTAAAAATATTTGCATTATCTCTGTTTTATTTTACTTCATATTCATATATATGTATGAATATATATAGCATGTATATATACTATATATATACATACATATATCAAAGACTAGAAACATACAAATCATTTATAACTTGTGAAAATAAACTGGTATGGTTTGTCTTACTGTGTAGCCTGTTGCTTTGGGTAGTTTACCGGTGTGTGTGTGTGTGTGTGTGTGTGTGTGTGTGTGTGTGTGTGTGTGTGTGTGTGTGTGTGTGTGTGTGTGTGTGTGTGTGTGCGCGCGCGCGCGCGGTGGGAGGGGTTTGCTGGAGCCACTTGCTCCCTCTAATTAGCAGCGTGTGCCGGTAAAGAAACTCAGTGGAGCGACCTCACCAAGGCGCAAAGGCATCCGGGGGCCACTTCACCTGTGTGATGACTTAACTTGTGTGAAGTCCGACTTGCAGACGCAGTTCGGATGCTCAGCGCGCGGCAGTGTGCTCTGGTGCTAAGCTGACACACAGTAAACGCTCAAACTGCAGATAGGGGAAAAGAAAGACACTTTGAGGTTTTCTGGTGAACTCCGGCGCGTTCCGCTTCTTTCCGCAGCGGGTTTGGATCCGACGCACTTCCGACTTGTTGCCCCCGCTGAGCTCTGAGGGGTCCTCGGCTGCTGCGTTGCGTGTCCGACATAACAAGTCAGCGACAGGACTTAAAAGCCAGCTGTAAGGATGATGTCCTACATAAAGCAACCCCATTACACCATGAACGGGTTAAATTTGCCTGGCCCCGGTATGGATGTGCTGCACACAACCGTCGCCTATCCGTGTAAGTACAAACTGTTATATTTTAAAGACTTTTTACACTTTTTGTTATACTTTAATGCATTTGTCTCCTGCTGCTGTGGTAATTTATAGTATACAATCTACCCAGAATGATGCGTAAAGACGCGCAGCCTGTGCGTAAAGCTGCAGCTAACGGAAAAGAAATGAAAGAGGATAAAAAATAGTTTCACCAGAGGCTGTATGGATGAAAAGGTTTGATAATAATGATTCCATAGTAAATCGTACCATAGAATTTTCATTACTATACCGATCTGAGTCCAAGAAAATTTGAATATTTAACTTTGTTATGAGATATTATTGATTTAATGAATGTAAAATATCTTCTTACATTCCTCTACAGCCGTGCCGGTATTGGTGCAGATATATTCGTTAATGAATGCTTTTTTAAACTGAAGCGCACATAATCTGCGCTCACTGCTGAGCTCAGTGTCTGTCAGGATTCAGACAAGATTTTACTTTTTCTTTGTTTCTCACTTTTTCCCTCAAATGTTCTCATTCCGCTGACGCTCAGATAAACGCAGACTGACAGTAGATGGAGACACTTGCTGTGCTCAATGCCAAATCCTAACTGCATCTACAATTCCTCACAATACTTGTTCTGAAACAAATACACCCAGGCATTTGGCTGTGTACCATAGAGGGCAGATCTGACTTTGAATGTACAAACAAATGTCTCCTCCTTCTCTGGGAAAGCCAAAAGAACCAGTGACTGTTAGAATAATTTGATACAATGAGCAATGACTTGTCTCCATATTGGTCACAAGCAGCCTGTAGAGAAAAAAAGTCAGTCAAAACAGAAATGTACTGTGAGGTTTCCATTCATATTTTATCTGTCGTCATCCTCTCACACAGAGCAGGAAAACAACAAACTAATCTCTTCAATGACCGCCATGTTATAATAAGAGTCTGAGTTATAATTCGTGTCATCTCTCTGTTTGCTGCCAGGCAGTATAATAATCCTCTCTGTGCGTCTCTTTGGTTTGCAGCCACTCCCCGGAAGCAGCGCAGAGAGCGCACCACCTTCACCCGGACACAGCTGGACATCCTGGAGGCCCTGTTCTCCAAGACCCGCTACCCAGACATCTTCATGAGGGAGGAGGTGGCCCTCAAGATCAACCTGCCTGAGTCACGTGTGCAGGTACTGGAGCAGTAGGCTGCAGCCAAGATCCACACTGTTCAGTGTTTGTGGGTTACTTAGAGTGAGATTTAAAGACAACTACAAGTCACACTCTCACCTCTGTATCCCACACCTCTGATTATTTACAACTCAGGACACATATTTCCACGTTCACACAAACTCAAACAAACGTTGTGTCTTTCTCTCCAGGTTTGGTTTAAAAACCGCCGTGCCAAGTGCCGTCAACAGCAACAGCAGAGCAGTGGCCAGTCCAAACCCCGCCCCCCTAAAAAGAAGGCTTCTCCAGTGCAGGAACCCAGCGCCCCTGATCCTGTTCCTAACCCATCTGGCTCCTACAGCCCCTCCTCTGCCCAGTCAGGCCCCAGCCTGGCCCCGAGCTCCAGCACTGGAAACACTGCAGTGTCCATCTGGAGCCCGGCCATCTCGCCCCTGCCCGATCCCCTGGCCTCCTCCTCTGCGCCCTGCATGCAGCGGCCCTCCCCCTACCCCATGAGCTACGGCCAGCCGTCGGCCTACAGCCAGGGCTACGCCAGCACCACCTCCTACTTCACCGGCCTGGACTGCAGCGCCTACCTGTCCCCCATGCACTCGCAGCTGTCAGGCACCGTGGGCGCCCTCAGCCCCATCACCGTGCCCTCCATGGGGGGCTCCCTAAGCCAGTCCCCAGCCTCGCTGTCCTCGCAGGGCTACAGCACTGCCTCCTCCCTGGGCTTCACCTCTGTTGACTGCCTGGACTACAAGGACCAGCAGGCCTGGAAACTGGGCTTCACCACAATGGACTGCCTGGACCACAAAGACCAAAACTCCTGGAAGTTCCAGGTCCTCTAGAAAGGGAGAGAGGGTGTGTCAACATGTCATGCGTCTCAACGAGTCCGGTGTGTGATAGTGCGAGGCAGTGCAGCCAGAGGACTCGTTATCTTTGATTTTCAGTTTCTCGTTTGTAAGATTTTGTTTTATTTTCAAAAGGGTGACCTCTGTAGAAGTTGATTTGAATGACTTTGGAGATGAAGGGACCAGGGACTGTCATCGATGCTGCCTGACTGCAAATCATTTATCTGTTGTCTTCTTCACGCTACGTTAAGTAAGAGAACAAAAGCTTTGAAAGAGTTTGTAGGGATATACTGGAGTCGTGCTTATGGAAACACACCGGGCCATCTCTTCTTTTAACGAGACCGTCTGACTCAGACACTGTTTCATCAACTGCCGTCGTCGTAGAGTGAGAGGAGAGCTGCTTTGACAGGAAGGAGCTCAGAAGTCCTCTAGGTCACTTCCTCCTTCAGGGTTTAATTATTTTAAGCTATTTATTATTAATTTATGCTACATTTAAATATGTAATTTGGTTTAGATATTTTTGAGCATTTGTGTTACAGTGTTAGCCTTTAGTGTTATCCTCCCAATCTGTTTGATGGAAAAATTAGACCTTCTGTTTTAGTTGTGTGACATATTAAAGTGATCTATTCTTTACACGCCTGTGCACTGACACTCATTGCAGGTTTACGGCTCATTGGGCCTGATTCTGACACAGTTATTAATTGACCCACAGGTCGGTATGAAGACACAGTGCGGATGTAAAGTGGCCATGTTGTGCTCAGGTCTGGACCCGTCATGTTTGTCATATGGCCTGCATGGCTCTCACTGGTCCGTCTTGGTTATTTTAGCTTATCTGATTCTGGGAGTGTCCCAATCCTCTTAGCCTCCCTTCAGCAATGCCCTAAGTGAATTAGTTAGGATTATTGCCCTATCCCCCTCTGTCTCTCTCTGTCTCTCACCCATCTCACCCACCTCTTCCTTTCCTGGCTCTCTCCTCACCTTTTTTTCCCTCTTTCGTCATTCTCGCTCCGACTCTACAGTATCTCTTTTCTCGATCGCCACCTGTTGTCTACCTTTTGCTTCTCTTCCCCCCCAAAACTAACATATTATTCCAAAGCATCTCAATCATTGACAGCAATGCAGTTTAATAAAGCCTTTTCATTAAACAGTTGTTTTTATTAATTGTTCTGGCTGTGAGATGTCGGCTCAGTGGATCCCCTTCTTTCAACCCCCACCACTCCACCAATCTCCCCAACTCCTCTGACAACTTGGTAATCCCCACATGACCTGCTTACTGCCACGCACATTTAGCTATGACATCAAATATCTGGAAATATTTCACAGACGTATGTGTTGTTTGTGTGTTGTGGGAGTTTGTGTCAAAAGCTGTGTATTATGCTATCTTTTTAAAGCGAAATGGAATTGTAGAGCAGTTGCGTAACTTTAGAGCAGTTGCCATAAAATGATCAATAAATCTAATCTATGGTTTTACGGTATTGTTTAGATTCAGATTACATTTGTGCAACTGACGTGCTTAATGTCGGCTAAATTAAAGGCTTGATAAAGTGTCACTCCTGAGAGATTTCTGATGTAATTCTGATATAAATAATAAACACAAATTCTACTTTTGTTGCTATTTAAATCATATCCCTGTCCTCAACCATGTAAAACGTTCTTCTTTGTTTCCATTATAAATTCACATCTACTGCACTGAGAGAGAGAGAACGGGTAGCGAGGGACATTTCAAAGCATTTTTCTGCACTCAACACTGGCCTAATCCCACTCTGTGCTCAATTTAATCCCTCTGCCCTCCCTCTCTGTGGTGTGATTGGTTAATCCCTGCGTCTGCGCACCCTGATTGGTTAACCTCTCTTGGAGGGTGCAGTGCACTTGTAATCTTCCCCCTCAGCACTGAGAGTTTCAGACAGACATTTGCGCTGTAATCCCACGGAGCAGCAGATGTGATGGGGGATGGACGGCACCGAGCAGACCTTGAGGAAGGTGAACGCCAGAAAACAAAAACACGGCACGCGGTCTGAGGAGGAGAACTTGTGTTGGCAAAGTCCAAACGTTGGTTGAAAGTGATTGTTACAGGTCCTAACACATGGTGACAGTGGTAAAAATTAGATCAGTGGTTCCCACCTTTTTCCTTCAGGGACTGCTTTTCTACCATTGAGTAAACTGATGATCCCTGACTAAGTCCGTCTGTATTTTATTTTTAAAAATTCTTTTTCACAATCATAAATATTTTATAGCTTCTTTTTTTGACAAATTCAATGTTTTCTTCTCCCTGATGCTTGGTCATTGTTCTATTATACAATTTACATTTACTTTTTCTTCACAGAAGTGAACCTGTATCATTTTTAAGTTTTCTTACACGCCAAACCAAGAAGAACTCACGATCCCCCATGATGTTTTGTAACCCCTAGTGGGGGTTTGTCTCACAGTGAGGGGCTGTAACGGGTATGTTTAGGTCACTTCTCTGCCTACACAGGAAGTGATGAATATATGAAATATCTAATCACATTCTGAACACAGTTATGGGAAATATACAAGCAGAACTGCTTCATGAAGCAGTTCTTCATTACTGGGATATCACTGTGAACCATTAGCTGTCACAGGTATATTATCAATAATGGACTAAATGTAGTCAAATGTGAACCTGCTCTTTACTAATGATACTGAGATCTTTCTTTTCTAATGCCCCTGATCTGTCAGACAGTGGTGGTCCATTGACTGACATCCATTACTTAAGTACCTATGTCACAATGTAAAAATACTGAATAATACAAAATAATTTACTTAAAGTACAAAAGTATTATCAGCAAAAATATGAAAGCAAGAAAAATGGCCTCCGTCAGTGTTTAGATTATGATATATTATACTATTGGATTATTATTAGCCTACTGAATGAACACACAAGCAGCTTGTTCATGTTAGCAGCCAGCTGTGAAGCTATTTTTTCCCCATTGTATATACACTGGGGCAGTGCTACGTATCCTATTTGGAGGGCTACTTTTCTTTATATTTTTTAAATTCAGTTTCATTTCAATGGTGCCAAATCCTAACAGTTAACTCAGGACACTTTTCACATGGAGCAAATTTAGATCATACTCCTTATAACATAATTTAAGGAAACTCAACAATTCCCACACTAATTGCAAACCAAGTCAGAAATCTTGTCATGCATAGTCATGGTTAACATCTACATTAAGACAATTACAAAATCAGCCATCTATCACCTCAAGAATATATCAAGAATTAAAGGATTTATGTCTCAGGGGGATTTAGGAAAACTGTCCTTTATCTTCAGTAGGCTCGACTAGTTACGCTTGCTCTGTGTGTCAAAAAACTGACTTTAAAATACTGCTGTGGGTTCAAAAGATACTGAATGGTTTGGAGCCAAAATGCATTTCTGACCTTCCGACCTGTTGGATGGTCTGGGTTCAGGTCTGCTTACTGTCGCCAGAATCAAAACTAAACACAAAGGAGCAGCATTCAGATGTTATGCTCCACTCCCAGAAAACTCTAAATCTGCTCCAACTCTCAGTTCTTCTGAATCAGGGCTTAAAACCTGCTTTCCTGTTTCACACTGCATTTGAAACATTCAGGACTGTTTATTCATGAAATAATATATGCACTGTAATATTTATTATCTATCATTTTTCTTTTAGTTTTACTTTACTTAATATTTGCGTCCTTTTGTATTGCCTTGTTCCATTTAAATACACTATATACTATGCATATAATATCCACTCATATCCAGCCTTTGTTTTGGCCACTGGAGCATCTCAGCCTGAGTGAAAAACTGTAACGCAAATAAATCACACCAACCAGCATCAGTTTTTAACACCTATTTATTACCACCATAATATGAGAAATTTGGAAAATACAAAGATCAGCTTATTTATACGTCTGAAAATCTTGAGGAATAAGAAAAATAGAAAAGAAAACAAATATGAGGTTATATTGTGTATCACAAATTTTGAGAAAGGGACAGATTATGTGTTCAGATCTACAGGGAGTGCAAGAGACACACAGAGCCTAAACATGCAGAGTGTAACTGTCACTATAATGTCAATTCATACTGTTGTGACGAGTCTAAAGCCTATGTGTGGAGAATACGATAGAGACAGAAGCAGAGTGTGTGATGACTGATCTACAGTGAACAACTGGATAGACGGAGAGATGGTAAACCATCGCCCCCGTGTGGCTGCCATTAGAATAGAAGTTGCCTTGGAAAACAGAGAAGCCCTTCCTGATTTTCTATAACGAATCAGATCACTGTAACAAAAACTGATGTTGACAATGTTAATTGCTTTTTTCTGTTAATGCAATGATTTTGGAAGTGGTAAAGAGAAGAGATGCTCATCCATGAATTATATGCGTAAAAAAAATAGACACCATATCCACAACGATAATCAATATTCTTAAGCAACCAAAAGATTCTTATTTGTTGAGTACAAGTGGTTTGACAGATCAGAGCTCATGCATCCACACAGACAGACCAACAGTCCGCCGTCCCCTCCCAGTGCAGATCACAGAGGTGGAGGTGGTCTGAAAAGGTACAGCGAGCCATCTGGCTGCAGCTGCAGAGCGAGGGGGCAGTGGGGGTGTAGAGGGACGGACTGGGTTGGGAGGGGAGGAGGGTGTTCAGATGGAGCAGAGGCCTCGGGACTAGTTTTAATAGCACCCTGCTGTGGAAGTTGCAGCTCCCCTTAAGCACACTAGCCCCTCGGCCACATCCCTCTGCTTCACCTCTGTTAGCCACACAAACCACACCCGCTGGGCCTCCCACCCCGGAGGAATCCAGGTGAGCTCGAGGGTGGGCTTCATGTTCTTGAGGCACCACCCAAACCCAGTGACGTGTTTGTTTGAGTATGTGTGCACATGTGCGTCTGATCTGAAAAACCTTTTACATGCACGAAAAAGGTACCCTAAAAACATTTGGTGAAGACAAAAAACCTATGAGAGACCATACTTCAACATATTTCTATCTCTTCATAATCAGGATTACTCTAAAGTCTACTGAGAAGTTGGGCAGGCTGGGGAGGGAGGGGGACAGGGACGGGAGGAGGTGGGTGGGTGGGGTAGAATGAAGGAGTGAGGGCTGGGGCGGGTAAAGAAAAACAGGACAGAGGTGAAACATTAGGGAGGCCGTCTAAGCGCGCTCTCCACGGATGCGGCGTGCCAGCTGGATGTCTTTGGGCATGATGGTGACACGCTTGGCATGGATGGCACACAGGTTGGTGTCCTCAAACAGACCCACAAGGTACGCCTCACTGGCCTCCTGCAGGGGGAGAGAGGGACAGCACATATTAGCAGGAGCAGTGTGTCAGTTATACAGTTTGGAAGTTACACTGCTATCGCTTTTGAAAGGACCAGTGTGTAGGATTTAATGGCATCGAGCGGTGAAGTTGCAGACTGCAACCAACTGAATACAGCTCAGCCTTCCACACCTGCAGGGCTCCGATGGCGGCGCTCTGGAAACGCAGGTCGGTCTTGAAGTCCTGAGCGATCTCCCTCACCAGGCGCTGGAAGGGCAGCTTACGGATCAGCAGCTCAGTGGACTTCTGGTACCGACGGATCTCTCGCAAAGCCACAGTACCAGGCCTTAAACACACAACCAAACTCTAGCAGGTTAGTTTAACTTTAATTCATCTGCTGAAGGAATAACGCCTCCATGTGACACCCTTTAGTCACTTAAAACCCCGTCACCCCAATAGTTTTTAACTCTGATGTGCAGTTTACCTCCTACTGCCTAACTCAGAGTTTCTGCAGGTTTCAACAGGTTCAATTTAAGACGTTTGAAGGCCATTATTAATGCAAATTTAAGACCTCTTTTACATCTAAAGTGTATTTAGGATATGAAGGAAAATCACTATTGGTTCCATGATTTATCCCCGTAGCCTCAAGTAGAATCAAACAGAAGGATGTGAATGTTTTCGTTTTAATACCACCAGTGTAAAACGCTGCAAACAAGAGGTTTTAGTAAATAAAAAAATATCAAAACATAAAGCATTATGAAAGAAAGAATTCAAATCAAGGCGTTACCTGTAACGATGGGGCTTCTTGACACCACCAGTAGAGGGGGCGCTCTTACGGGCAGCCTTGGTGGCCAGCTGCTTACGAGGAGCCTTTCCTCCAGTGGACTTACGAGCGGTCTGCTTGGTACGAGCCATTTCGACGAAGTGTCACCTGAAGGGAATATCACAAAAATGTAACAGCATACTTTGAATTGTTCATAGTATGGTTCCCTTTTTCTCTCTGGCCTTAACATGATTTATACACACTCTCCACCTGCTATTATCAGTTCTATCCTAATATAACTGTTTATTCATACATTTATAGATTATCAGACAAGTCACAACAACACATACTGAATATGTCAATTATAATGATTCAGTTAAATAGTTCAAATTGAGTGTTAGCTTCATATTTACGTTTTGGTGATATTAAATTATCTTATATAATATAGAATTATAATAAAGGCAAGGTTTACAAAATGCGTTTTCTGTTTATTATCATTATTTTCTCCTAGAACTTGCATGCACAAGGGTCCGTAAACTATCATCTTTTTTTAATGCTTTCCATCACTCAACGTTTTTGAGAGAGGGACTTTTGTTTTCCCTCCATCTATCTCACAGTCTTTGATGTTTGGTCATGTTGGGTCGCCTGGGAAAACTTTTCCCCCGGTTTGGCAGCTGTACAGACAAACCGTGCCCAGCCAATCCAGACACAGTGTTCTCCCCACCAAACCAATCACATTGCTGAACAGGTCTTCATCCCGAAACAGACCAATCCGCTGCGTCTGTGTCTCACTTGAGGACCAATGGCGTTTCATCCTGCAGGGTTTTAGGGCGGGACGAGCAGCCTTAAGCCCGCCTCATACCGCAAGATTATGGCCGCAGACCCAAATCAACCTACCAATATACAGGCAATGAGCGGGACGTAAACTTTGACATTTCTCTTCATAAACAAACAACGTGTGCATACAAGATTACCAACAAAACGTAGAGGACAAGTGTGGCTATCGAATGAGGGTCAAGGCGTGCGAAGCGGGTGAATATTAAAGCGAGACAGCGAGGTTGAAATGGAGTATGAAAGTGGAGCAGATATTTCGGCAGTGCAAGTACTGAGCCGTTTTTCTGTGTGCCTGGGCATCGGGGCAGCTGCTTTTTCTCCTCTCTACAGCGTCGAAATAACACGCTATTTCAGCACTAAAACTACTTTATCTGTCCCATTTTCTTCACTAAACGATGAATAGTATCTCATGGTTGAAAAAGTGTGACAAAAATGGAACTTACCGTGGGTGAATTTAACGCTTTTTCTTCGCGCGGATACAAGTGTGTTGTGGTTGTCTGGCAGTGTCAGATATTTACTATCTCTCACACAATGGAAGCAGGGAGAGCTGGAGCAAAATGGCGGCCGTGTCAATCATCTGTCTCCCACAATGCAACTGCCAACATTTGTAAACATTGTAACTTCATTTCCTCAACAACAACTTTTTGTTACAAACGTTGTTGGTTTTGTGACAATACCGTCATAATAAGAAAGTGACACATAATTATGTAATTATTTTGTTAGGTATAACTGTTACAGTTACATGTTTTCACATAAACATTTATCAAGAAATACAAATTACAGAACAAGAAAGGGGATTAAATTATATTAAGAATTCAGGCACAGGATATTAGCATGAATATAAAAAAACAATACAATTATTTGGACTCTAAAGGGCCAAAGCCATTTTAAAAATACATACAAGAGACTGTGAGACTGTGGCGGTACAATATGTTTTGACCAGTTGTGGAAGTGCAATTTTGAGGTACTTGAGTAATTCCATTGTACGCTACTTTATATTTGTTATCAGACAAATATTGTACTTTTACTGTCGCAGGTTACAAACACTCACACATTTCTTTTTTTCAGTTGTCCTACTTCACTACATTTAAATTAAAAGCGTTTTGTTACTTTGCAGATTCAGAATAAAAATACAAAATATAATCAAGATAATCATAAACAAATAAATGATGATGTATCATTACACACTAAAACACCTGGCAGTATATGAAGTAGTTAAAGTGAATTAAAGTAATACATCAGTGCAATAAATATGTTATTCTGAAGTTCTGCATAATGAGTGCTTTTACTTTTGGTACTTTAAGTATGTTTGATGCTAATACTTTTCTGCATTTGCTAAAGTAAAAATTTGAATGCAGGACTTTTACTTGTAGAGTATTTTTACACTGTGGCTACTTTTATTTTGGTAAGATGAGTACCTCTTCCACCACTGGTTATATAGTATAATAATTATTTTTTTGTTCAATATGAATTTGAGAGTGAAAAAATTGTAGAATGTAAAATAGAATCCATATTTTTGAAAAACAGACAATTAAAATGTGTAAAAGTCAGGTTCTGTATGACTGCTGCTATTTCATTTGCCTTTCCCCATTGATTTTAGCTCAATGTCAACATTGCTCTGGGTTGATTGGACGATTGTTTAGGTCACCTGTGGGGACTGACCCATAATCATTGTGACCATATTTTTATTGGTTTGACTTTCTCAACATCCACATTCATTATAGAGTACATACCATGTATATAAATAAATAATAAATCCTTCTTTACTCCCTCCCTCCCTTCCCCTCCATCCACCCCTCCCCAGCAACTCTCTCCATTTTTTTTTACGCTATCAACATTTTAATTGGATGTCATAAAATCGTTATTTAGTTATTCTTCTTGAATTCATTTTTCTTCCCTTAAATATCTGTACAGGAGAAAATGAGAAAAATAACAAACTGACTGACTCCTCATGATGATTGACAGCAACAGTAGGATATTATTACACCTCTAAGAGAACAGAGATAAAACCAACATTTTAATGTAGTTATTGCTGGAGTTGAATCACTTAATATCACCAGTTCTGACATTTATCAAGAGTTTTATCTCCCTGATCACCCTACTGGCCGACATATGAAACAGGAAGGAAAGTAAATCTAAGCGTATGAGTTCAGGCCTGCATGATCAAAGGTTATGTTCTTGTGATGGCATCATCATTTCTACATATTCCATGTGGATGACATTTAAGCACACATGCTGTAATCAGTCATGCTGACATGAAGGTTATGCCAAGCTCCAAACTGATGCTGCAAAACTACTCTGATTCATGACCAGCCTTCCTGTTTTGATGGATGTTTGGCCCTGGAGCAGTCAAAGCATTTTTCTTATCATTTGTAGTGCCCCCTATTGGCCTCATTTGAAAAGCCCTCATTTAGCTTCTCTCTTCGAAAATAAATATAGAACTCTGTTTGGACATGTGTTAGAACTCACATCACAGCACCAGAGCAGTTAGAATTCAGTCACCTGTAATGACATGTCTGAACCAATTCATTTAGTTACTTTCAAACAGTTTCAGTTGCCTTAGAAGCTCCAGAAAACACAAACTTTCTTTTTTAAATCTGTATAAATCTTATCAACAAAAATAAAAGGCAGAAATAAAGGGTAAATTTAAAGATCCTCATCCCAATGGTTTGTGCTTCTCTCCACACTGAAAAAAACTACTTAAAATTCAGAACGATATGGCAATTGCTTCCATTCATTTTTATTAAATTTAGTCAATATTTCTTTTCTAATTCAAATGAATTCAAATTTATATATTTGAAGGTGTTCACAAAATCTCAGTATGTGTTAAATAAGTCATAATGCATTTAAAAATATTTTATTTTTTATACCACCTATTTTTTTTTTTTTTTAAAAAAAAAAATTTTTTTTTTTTTGGTTTGAAGAAAGGGGGTTTTTTTTTTTTTTTTTATGTGTATAATTTAATTTCAAAAATGAACAGCAAATTTTTTGTCAATTTACCAAGGATGGCAATAGTGCTTGGGAGGTTTTAGTGATTTAAAATCTGTAGCATGCTTCTCTTGATCATGTGCCATTATATTGTATTTGTCAGATGTTTATTGATCTCTATAGAGACTTTCTTGTCTTGCTTTCCTCACTGGGAGGTCAGAGTTAGCCACCGAGTCTGGTGGAGGTAAGAAGTCCTGCTCAAGGAACTCTCAGCAGGGTGAATGTTTACTGAAACAGGGGCGGAAATAGGCCATCTGGCTGAAATACGCTAACTCTTACCTTTAGTCCAAAATGCTGCATGTACACTAATAACATCTGTGCTTGCAGATGTTTTTCTGCACCAGAAGTTGGCCAGGAAATGCAAGTTGGAACAAGAGAGTTTTGGAGGAGATCAGGTAGACCTTGTAGGTGGTGAGTGGGATTTTACAGATTTTGTTGAATTTGACTGGGAGCCAGTGGAAGTCTCTGGATCGGGTGTGAATGAGCAGCATTTTAAAGTGTATTGAGGACTTTGGTGCCATTGAATTTTATACATCCAGTTTTTAACAAGTTTACATTCAGTGTTACTGACACCTTGCGTGTATCCTTGGGGTCTAACATATATGTTGAATGTATTTCCTTACTCGTAAAACATTTGCAAAGCTGATTTTTAAACTATTCTAAATCCAGCGTTGCTTACATCCATGTTTATCTGGTGGGGTGTATTGCCTGGTGCTATCGACCACCCACTACCTGTGTGAACATGAGACAAACAAAACAGTTCCATAGCTCTACTAGAGGTCAAAAACTGCACAGTGAAGTTAAAGCCCACTAACCCTACAAGGAACTTTCATTCTGTGTTGATTCTGGCAGCCCCTGTGGACAAAAGCGATAGTGTTTCTACCGCCTCGTTTCATTGATTTCAAGTGAAATCCAACCCGGTGGCAGCCATTAAGAACAGCTATATAAAAATAGTTCTCACTGACATTGTTGTTTGAGTCAGTGTTAAATTGAGATTCGTAATCCGTTTAAAAACTCCTTGTACGACATTTGACACGCTGAGAATGTTGAATTTTCTAAAAGCAACATATTGACATCAGGTCAGCCTACTGTGACCAGTCAGTAATGATTTAAGATAAACTCTGAAATATATGACTGGAAATTATTTCCTTCACATAGAGCGCACACAGCCAATGTTACGCTTACTGACAACTGACAACTAGCACTGCTTTGTGCTCCTGTCTCCTAAACTAGATTTTGAATTTTGTCCTTCCTCAAGGAATTATCAGACTGAACCAAACAGAGGTGTATCAGTAACATCACGCACATATTAAAAGACATGGATTATAGCTATTCCTGAACAGTTTTATTTATTTCATATCTAACTTTAGATACCTCTAGTTTGAGACAAGAGTGTTTTCACATTCAAGTACACGGTGCCTTACTTCAATGCCCCATCTGAAAAGGTAGAGGCTTTACATAAGGCAAGAGGAGCAAAACCTGCAAGCGATATAGAAGTCAAACAGTTACAGAGTACAACCTGGATTTAGACATATTTGAAACAAATTGTAATCCATACATTATGGTGAACCAAGAGGGCATGTAGTATAATACCAGATGGATGTACTATACATTGATTTTCAGCCTGAAAATAAAAAGCCCCAGGTATCTTTAAAAAAAGAAACGTTCCCTCCTTCGTTGTTTTAAATTCAGAACCAGTGAGGCGATACAAAACTAAATAGCCCCAGGTCACCTGTCAACCCTGAACTGTCAAGAATCATCAAAAGTGATCTCTAATCTAGATATCACAATGTTTGTGCATTATGACAATGGACCTGACAATGAGAGTAAACAAAATATGGTCTGTAGGAACACAATTTAAGGCTCATCACCAAGTTGTTTTTTTCCACAAAGCAGCGGCAACATGTTCTTCACTACGTTGTTTGAGAGGACAATATTTTCATCTTTATTCAGTCAGTCCAGTTCATGAAAGTACCGTGAATGTGATGGGAAAAAAAGAAATAAAAATAACCTCTTACACATCTAAAGGTACAACAGGCATTCATCCATCTTCCCCTCTTTATCCCGTATGTGCAACAACTGCGCCAAGTCGTTTGGTCCCTCTTCCAATGAAGAACAAACAAGTACCAAAACATTCCATTAGAAGTCATTGAAATCGGTTTATAGCAAAGTTACATAAAAATGGCACAGTCACAGAGAAAATAAGACATTGATAACCACTGTATTAACTGAAAGTAACCATTGCAGCCCCTTATTAAACCTCCCACCCAGTCGGATTCTTTGAGACAAACGTGGACACACTGTACCGCCTACTTGTGTACGTAGCAGAGGGAGGGCGTGATGACCTATGTGTATCCTCCTTCAATAACTTGTGCTGTAACATCCAGAAAAAACGCAATGGATAATGAAGTACACAGAAGTGTTCTGTAAGAGTGCATGCATTTCTAAAATGCAAACCTTAATCCCAGTTATGCTCATACCCAGCTCCACGCCTAAAAACAAAAAAATCAACTAAAAATCCCTTTTTACTAGTGATTCTATTCATATATATATATATATAGTATATATATTTTACATTTTTGTGGTTCCTGTAAAAGTACCTTACGTCTTACATATCATATACATTTATGACTGGCTACTGTCTCAATCAATCACAATAATATGACCTCTTGGACAATAATTTCAGGTACATTCAGGACTTTCTGTAAAAAGTCTTACAATTTTCTTTACAATTCATTAAAAATACAGAGGAGCAAAAATATTGGTGATACGACAGTCCACTGTCCTGCAGAGGCTGCTCAACCGTAGCTCAACAGAGTCTTTCTTCTTCTACACAGCTAAAGATCATTTCACACAACCCCCCCCCCCGACAAATGCTTCATTCTGTACGTATCTCTGTCTCTGGCCTCTGCATGGCCAGGTCAGTCTGGATAAAGGCTCCCTGGCCCAGTGCTGTGGAGTACGCTCTGTTGTTGTGGCTCGCTGTGAATCCCGGGGCCGGATAGGAGCTGGAGCCTCCACGTTTTTGAACAGGGGCCTGAGGCTGAGGTACTGGGTGGTAATCGTCCAAGTTATCATAGTGGGACTGCGCCGTTTTAGTGCTGTGTTTCTGATATGAGTAGTCTCTGTCCAGTTCAGGCTTCCCCTGGTTGTAATGCTGCTGCTCTCGGACACTGTGTGATCGCTCCGGTTTGGAGCGGGCAGGTTGTTCCCTGGGGGCTGCTGGCTGGTCGTCTGTACTGTGGTAGCCGCTCGACGTTTTCGCTTTACCCTGGTGGTGGTCAGAATCAGGACACTCGTAACGTGGCTGAAAGTTCCTCTTGCTGGGATACTCCTGCTGCCAGTGTTTAGACCTGCTGCCGTCTCCACCCTGCTTGTCGTCTCCAGTCTCATACTTGGCCTCGTGTCGGCCGCTCTCCTGCTGATGGGAGAGACTGTGGCTCAGAGTAGCTGGAAGGGAGTGAGAGGATTGGCATTTCTTGGAGCTGCTTTGCTTGGCGAGCCCATCTGACTTTTCGCCCACTGTGGTGCCCTGGACATGCTTGTCAGTCTCCATGTACATGAGAACATCAGGGTCTGACACCATGTGTCTGGGGAGGTAGCGCCCGTCTTTGCTCTCGGCTGCAACCAGCACAGCTTTGCCTGGGTCAGACTTACTGCGCAGGTGCAGGGTTTCATAGCCTGATATATCTGCTGGTGCAAACAAGCCGACATTGTCATACTGAGAGAGGACGGGGCCTTTAATCTTCTGTCTGGCCCTGCTCTCCCTGCGTATGGAGTGCATGCGGAGCCTTTCTGACTCCTCAGCGTCCCAAGCAAGGTAAGCAGCAGCCTCCTGGGTTCCATGACCTGGGGGCATGTCTCTGCTCACAAAGCTGTGCTCCTTCCCTGGTGGAAGAATGTGTCGAGCCACGTAGTGGTACCCAGTCGCCTTTCCACCCGGTCGGCCAGCAACGGCTCCTGGCTCTCGGCTGCCATAGGAGTGAACGTGCCTGACCCGGATGGTGCCGTAAGGGTCAATGTCATAGTAAGGTGCCTCCAAAGGGCTGGAACCGGAGTACGGACTGTAGCGATACTGGACCCGTCCATTCTCAAAGTAAGGCTGCAGCTGGGTGACGTGGTAGTCGGCTTGTGAGGACTGCTGCGGGGACTGCTGGTACGCTTTGCACTGATACACGGGTCGGTGGTAGAAGAACATATCATCATCTGGAGGAACTTCAGTCCTCTGGATGGGCACTGAGCGGATAGTGGAAGGAACATGCAGTGAGTGCACTCTGCGGATGGTGGGATAGCCGTGGGTTCTGTCATGGCTATAACCCTGATGCCCTGGCCCTGGAGACACGTACACACTGCGGGTGTTTCCTCTGGACTTTATGGAGTGGTGATAGGACCTGGGGCCTAAAGTGCTGTATCTATTGTCTACTCGGGCACTGTAAGGTATCTGAGGCTCAGATTTGGACACGAAGGAGAGGTGTGGGGGGACGCTGTCTGGCCGGTAGTGGTGTGGCATGGACTGCGGGCCTAGAGGAACAGGCCTCTGGTGGTAGTATGCAGCTCCTGGAGGCTCAATTAAGACTGGCTCTCCTTTAGCGTGGTACAGGTAGGCTGGCTGGTGCGTGGAAGATTTACGAGGAGAAAGAGGATGGTGAGGCAGAGGATCTTCTAGATGCACGGGTGCAGGGCCCTCACCCAGGATATGGTAGGAGGCTTCACTTTGGCTGAGTGCTGCTGTGGCCAGTTTGCTCTCTATGGTGCGGACAGGAGGGGCTGGAGGTGCGGGTCCGTACGAGTCGTGGTACTTTGCAGACTCTGTACAGGGCTGTACTGGCTTTATGGCCTCCCAAGGCTTCTCAACAGGCTCAGCAGAGGTGGGGGCCACTCTTGCACTAGCCTTTGAGAGGGGTGGAGGTTGGGTTTGGGGTTGGGTTTGGGGTTGGGGTTGGGGTTTGGGTTTGGGGTTGGGGTTGGGGTTGGGGTTGGGGTTGGGGTTGGGGTTGGGTTTGGGGTTTGGGGTTGGGTTTGGGGTTGGGGTTGGGTTTGGGGTTGAGATTGCGTTTGAGGCTGCGGATGAGGCTGTTTTGGAAGATGAGGCTGTATCTGAGCTCGACTCTGCTGCTGAGCTTGTGTTTGATGCTGGGATGAGACAGCATGCCGTTTAGGCTTTTGAATTGGTGGAGGTGCCGGTTCTGATGGTTTTGGAAGTATTGGGGGCGGTGCAGGCTCCTCTGGTTTGACCTGAGACAAAACACAACAAAACAGAGCTTATTTACTAAAGAAACATTACAAAACCAAAAGATAAGCGTTGCTGCTCTGGGACAAGAGTTATCATGAAAACCTGACCACACACACATCAGCTAGGTGCTGTCCAGTGTCACCAGTCTGGTAACTGGTAGCAGCATGCCATATATTCTAAATGTCTGGTTGCTTTTTGTTTGTATTTCTTATGTTACTTTTATACTTTTGGCTTAAAAAAACAAGAAAGCAGTGAATATTTAAAAGCTCTGAAGACTTAAGATGATCATGATATGAGACATTAGTGACTCTAACACCTAGCACTAATTAAAATATGACCTATGCAGGCCAAAAAATACAGAATATGATAGCATCAAATAAGCTACACATCTGACAACCCCCAAGGCAAATGTACTGACACATTTGGTATTCTGACTGTATGCCACAAACACAGTGTGTAATAAGAGCACAGGCCATTCCTAATCATGAAATTAATAATTAATTAATTAATCCAAATATATATATGCTCAACCTTTATATGCTCAAGGCACTCTCGTGTCTGTACACTAAATATGTAGCTAGAACCAGGAGACCCTTAGCTTAGCATTTACTCCAAAGAAAAAAAACACATACCAGCACCCCTAAAGCTCACAAATTATCACATTATATCTAGGTAGTTTAATCTACACAAACAAATGTGTGGTCAGGTGCAGTGATTTCATGGAGTCTGTTCTGGTTACAAGACTCCAGGAAGACATACAGTACAAGCTAGAATGTCTTGATTAGTGAGCTTTAGAGGTGCTGGTACTGTAAAACCTTACTAATTGTCTGCAGGCTGTAGCTCATGTTATGCTGCATATGAATAATGAATCCATTTGGATTATGCTTACTGTGTCTCAATATCACAATATAGTGGCCATTAATAATTTCTAAGTAACATTCTGCATGTGAAACTGATATGACACTTACCTCAGGAACAGGCTCTGGTAAGACTCCAGTGACTTTGCAGCTGCCACTGGGGGTGGTGACTGGAGTGTTACTAGATGAGCCGGTACGGACTGGGATCTGACCTGTGACTGGCTGCTGCCTTTCTGGACTTTTCCTGGTTGGAGAGGTCAGGCTGGTTGAACTGGGGAGTGGGGGACACTTGTAAAGAGGAGTGTCTGGTGGGGTGGATTCTCTTTTCTCTGTTTCTGGCTGTGTACCAGGTGGAGTTGTAGAGGACTTGGCACTGTCTGATAGCTTGGTAATCGTGCCAGTTAACTCTTTTGGTTGCTGCTTGATTGTGGGACTGGAAGTGGAGGGATAAGATGGGGCCAGGCTGATCGTTGGAGCAGTGCTGTTTGGCGGTGGGGAACTTCCTCTCCCTGCTCCCTCATCGGAGGAAGTCTGGAAATGTGGGAGCGCTGGATGTGGCAAGTCCTGGAAGTTAGAGCCCTCCTGTGGCTGCAGAGGGAAAACCGGCGTGGGGGGCTCAGAGGGCCGGGACTGACAATGAACGGAGACCTGCTGGGCAGACTCGGCTAGGGCCAGGGCCAGCATGCGGGCAGCATTTTTAGGAGGGGGAGGAGGAGGAGGAGGGGCAGTAGTGGGAGCTGTAGAGCTCAGGGAACGAGGGGTGAGGTCCTTTGAAGAGTCCGGAGTTACAACTCCTAGCAGGGACACAAAAACACAAGGGATCTATAGTTGAAAAATGAGCAAGACAGCAGTAGGTGAAGAAAAGACATGACAGCAGGCAGGTTGGTTTCAAGTGCTTCAAGAGTGGAAAAGAGGGGAAAAGTTAAGTGTGGTGCTTGGGCATCATAAGAAAAGATTTATTTAAGATGAAATCCATGCAAACCTGGGAAACTAAACCTAGAAAAAAAGCATTCATGTAATTAATGGCATGATGTGAATATTGAATATTGAAAATAAGGCAATAAGCCTTATTTTCAATATTCACAGTGTAAACATGCCAGAAACTATACTTAAATGACATTCTGTGCTCCTACCGCGGTGCTCTTGGCTGCTGGCAGCTGGCGCTTCCTGTACGCTGTCCTCTCCCCTCAGCTCCTGACTGTCCACACTGTCAAAGGCTGCCAGCTTAGAGTGCAGCTCTATTTGGAAAGCCTCACTTAGCGATGGCTCGGCTGCCCTCAGCAGCACACTGCCCATCAGGGGAGGAGAGTCCTTGGCTGCTGAAGCAGGAGATAATGGTTGTGGAGAGGTGGCCTGTCCGGCTGTATTCTTGTCAGGCATCTCTGTAGAGAAAAGCTCTGAAGTGGCAAATGGTGTCAAACTGGTGGCCTTTCCGCATTTAATAGGTGACACAGCCTGGGTGGGTTTATCAGTGTAAGAATAGGAAGTGGTCAGTTTCTTGCTCTCCACCTTCTCTCTGGCAGCCCGGCTGAAGTCCGTGGACAACATGGGGGAGGTCAAGCTGCCCAGGAAGGTGGCAGAGATGAGCTCAGAGCTGTTGGTCTTTCCGCACGCACTGCCGGGGCTCCTCTTTAACATGGAGCACTCGGCCCCAGCTGGCAAGTCATCTAGGGGGAAGGCGTAGGAGGTGTCGGGGAGACTGCACTGGAATGACATGGGGTCAAAGTCCAAGGAGGCCATGCCGATGTCCGGCGGGCTGAGGTCCACGTCTTCACCAGCTGAGCGGGGAGGTGAAATGAGAGCAGGCACACAGATGGGCCCGTCGTCTCCGTCGCTGTCCTCTGTGGCGTCCAGGTTGTCGTAGGAGTTGCAATGCTGCCGGCTGTCCAGCAGCTCGCCATTAAAAGAGGCTGACAGGGCGTCGCTGCTGGAGCGTGGCCGCCGGGGACGGTACACCTTGGACTCTCCTGAAGGAGGAAAATGACATAATCAGAAACAAACATTTGTTTCAAGTCCCTGTGGGTAACAGTGGGCTACACTGTAGAAAGAGCATTAAAAGTATGCTATGGGCTGCGCTGACTGATTCAACTCAAATAATACAATTACCTTCAACATTGTGCAGGGAACTCAGTGACTCTTCACTTTTGGCTGATCTTAACGTTGCTGTGTCTCCTCTGCCGCCTGAAACATAGTGATTAAACGGTACCATCATTCAGCTGTGTTTCGTCAGATAAGTTCTTCTCATTGCATAATGGTAAAGTGATTGAAAAAGCTGAGTGTGTTTTCATTCCAGGTGTGAAGAACTGACTCACCAGCGAGAGCCATGGCCTTTAGTTCATTGGGCTCACTGGGGTTGCGGTGCAGCTTGCGCTTGGACATGGAGGAAGATTTGCCTAAGTTGAAGAAAGAACGCCAGCTACCCACAGGGGACTTCTTGGATTTAATGGGAGGCCTCTTCCTGTGATTAAAAAACAGTGGTGTACAAGCAGTTAGTATCACTAACTCATTGACAAATACATAGACGCCAGGACATAGTAATTAGTTACAATAATGTGTTTTTAACTCTACACATGTAAAATCAGATCATCTCCATTTTTTATATATTTGCCCAAGTCTAAAACTTGAGACAGTCCAGATATGGCAACTTGGTGCAGGAGGAATATGGCTGCCTGCAGTCTCACCAGCTACCAGCAGAGGGAGACACACTCCAGCAATTTTGGCTGTTTGTATAAATTTTGATTTTATATTCATCAAATGACACAACAGGAAGAGGGGTTGACAAACCTCTCAGTGGGAAACTCGATGACTGTGTGGAACTTGCCCTGCAGGGCAGCTGGACCTTCGCCCACCTCGATGTATTTGCTGTCTTCAGTGACCGGAGAGTTGATCTGAGCCTGGGTCCTGGCCTGGGCCTCCTCCAGACTCAGAAGTTTAGTGGAGGGTGATGAGACCAGCAGGGATTTGGGCCGTGACAATGAATTGTGACCTGGTGATGTAGAACATCACAACATTATTGCTCAAGCAGAAGAAGCAGAATGACAATTTTGGCAGGGGTCTTATCTTACTGATGCCTGTACGTACCTGCTCCCTCTCGTATTAGTGAGCTGAGTTTAGTGCTGAAGAGGACATCCACGTGGTTCAGGATGAACTCCACCACCACAGACTGGATCCGGACTTCCATGAAGGCTGCTGTGCCACTGAAGCATGCAGATTCAATCTGTTTGGACCTGAAACAATCATCAAAAGACAACAGTGAAAAAAGAATTACTATATAAATAATTTTAGTAAAATCTCAAAGCTTCTGTCTCGAGGTGGGCGATATATATCGTTTGCGATAATATCATCATTGTTGTTTTGACGATGTGCAAATTTCCATTATCAAGTATTTAAATTACTTCGCCAAAAACATTGAAACGCACGCGGAAACTCCTCACATCCACTTAATACACGGTGCAGCAACGCTCTCTACAGCATGGCAGGATTCAGTCACACGAGTAGTGGGCCTACGTGATCATATGACCTCTCGCTAGCATCTTCCTTGCAACAGTTTAGCAGCGCGTTGTGATGGTAAAGAGAAAATGCAAGCACCTCCAGTCCCTGAAGCTAGCGGTACTTCAGATGATTTAGTGCCGAGACGTGGGTCTACCTCTGGCATGGAAATGGTTTGGTTTCGAAAAGATTTTTTTAGCGCAGCGCTCAGAGCGCTTCAAGTTGAAATCTGTTCAACTTTTAACACCGCTGGGCGCTCGGAAAATGAGTTTTTGAGCGCTCTCAGCGCTAAAAACGCGTTTGGTGGACACAAGCCCTAACTCAGACAATTCCAATCACATTTTAAAGGATATCGTCTGATTATCGCTATCGCCAAAATCCCCAAAAATTACGATATATTATTTTTTGCCCATATCACCCACCCCTACTTCTGTCTCAAAGTGTGAGGAAAAATCATTTAGAGATAGACACTACAGGTAAAAAAAATTAACTAATAGATATCAACATGAAACTTCCCCAGCTGATTACTTACTTTAAGAAAAAAAAAGTTTTCTAAAATTGTATGTTTTAGTATCCAAATAAGGCATTAGCTAATGCTACTAAGTTTTACTGAAATCTACAGACAAAAACAAAGTGTAGTAAAATTGCACCTAAATGTATTTTTGGGGCTTTTTAAAGTAAAATAGGCCATAATCTCAAAATTCACAAGTGCTTGAAAAAAAAAAATGTTTTTGCCTGTTGTGTCTTGTCTTAAAGTTGCATAATTTTTGAGATGCATTTCCAACATTTGATGTTAATCAGAACCCTCCCACAAACAGCGGCTTCAATTCTCCCATTCAGGCAGAATGACTCATTTAGATCAGCAGACAGGGAGCTCTCTGCTGCACAGAGCCCATTATCACGTCTGATTCAAGTCTGAGAAATCATTAATGTGAGTAGTATAAAAAACACCCACATAATCTCAAATACATACAGGTCAAACTGAGAAGATTATTAGAATTATCTCGAGATCAACTTTGTTATAAAAAAAAAAAAAAAAAAAAAAAAAACCCAAATCACTCAAATAACAGAACTCTGGACAATCCAAACAGCGTATACACTGCAATGAAAAACATGCATTCAAAGAACATTCTATGGATGCTGCGGAGTCTCACCTCAGCAGGTTGGGTGCCCACACGATGGCCAAGTTCTTGCTGTGCATGTTGGTGATGTAGCTGAACGCCGCCAGGTGGGAAAGGTGCCTCATGAGGAACTCCAGGGTCCTACAAATCAAATATTCATTTATTCAGTTTTAATTGGCTCCCACTAGTGATGTGCAAACTAATGGCCATGATAGAGCTACTTCTTCAGAGCGTCCATATTTCACTGTGCTCAAATCTCGCAGGAATGTCACTTAGAAATTAGCATTTGTATGCTTTCACAAAGGACAGGAAATTCAATTCATCAGCACCAATGCAAAGGTCAGCAGGGACCTGTTAAATGATTCCATTTAATACAGTGTAGCACTACAAAAACCCTTGATTTTAACATTAACAGACACACACAATTGATGATAATGCACAGGCAGTTTCTGAGTCTGCCAAAGGGAGGCAGTGTGCCTCTACACTGACCTGTAATGCGGCGGAGGAAGCTGCTGGATGACATCATGGATTTTGATGAGTCGCTCTTCGTCCGTTGCTGCTGATACAGCATCCTTCAGAGTGCAAACAAAGGGAGAGATGGGGAGATAGTGACAGGGAGATAAACAGCGGGATGTGTCAGGGTATCAACATTAAACTCATTCACTTGTCATCCCAGGTTCACAGTGCTGCATGGAGCATGGAGGGGACATCAGTCTGCAGCCACAGCCCCCTCCTCTCCCCAGCTGCCATAACAACCAGCAAACATTTACTTCATCTTCAGGGACGGCTCTGTTGTGCCTGGAGAAGGTTTTTATTCCAAGTCACACACAGAGTGGTTGCTGCACTTGTAATGATAGGGTGTGTCAAGTACAATGCTGTGATTTTAGGGGTGTCTGTGACTCATAACTGTAAGATAAATTTGAGAAATTCCAACAAGATGAATCTGAGCAATTTCTTTTCTTTTTTAAAGAGATCAAGGACACATTTGAAATTAAGTCAGTCACATCCTATCAGTGTCTTTCGGGGCATCTTTGTGGGCACAGAAACTCAAAACAAGCTCAAAAGTCAGGCGCTGTATAGTAATAGTTAGTAGACCCGTATCCACACATTAGTGTAGGAAAGTGGTGTGTGAGAAGTGTTTGCTTACAGAGAATTTCTCGTAGAGTTGGTAGGTGAGCAGGGGGTTAGGCAGCTCTCTGAAGTAGAGCTTACACAGCGAGCCAACACAGTGGATGTCCTGGATGTAAACATCTTTGGTCAGGTCGGGGATCTGCTCAGAGTCAAACTCGTGCCTGATGAAAGAGAAAGAGGGCAAAGCCAGAGTCAACAAACTGACTTCTTCTCACCACTGCAGTTTGATGGATAGCTGCATTTCAGTAGTGTTTTAGAAGAGAAAATTATTGATATGTCCCTTTTCTGTTAAAGGTGGGGTCAGTGATTCTAGGGAACACGATTCTATTCCAATAAACCCTTTTTTTTTTCGAAATTCTGCAAATATCACCTCTATTATTTATTTAGAAATTATATCTCTAACCACAAAAATAAATAGACTGTAAGACTGAAATATAGTCTTAGTCAACAAAATCTGCACTTACGTATATGCACTTAATATTACTGAAAGCGTACACTAAGGTGACCTAGAGAGTCTATCAACATGAACTCATCCCTTCTCACATCTGGATTTTGGCAGCTGGACAATTGGGGGGACATTGCTTAGAGAGCTTTTATAGAGGAAATCAAACTAACTGTAAAAGTGGAAATTAGAGCTGCATAATTAATCCAAATTTAACTGAAACTGCAATATGGCCAAGTGCAATAGGAAAAGTCATTTTTTCATAAAGCTAAAGCTAAACTGTGTGACAAAAAGCATTTTAATGTCCAGATCTCCAGAGATGCCCTGGCCTACAAAACTATTTCTCCAGATTTAATAAAAATTTTTGTTTGGTATACACCCCCAAAAAGTTTCAGATTCTTATGACTTTAACTTTTTTTCTCAGTGAGATTCTAATGTAAAAATGACCATTCCCACACTCATTGTGAATCATATCGCAATATCTGTCCAAATGATCTCAATATGGTATTTTTACCATATCATGCAGCCCTAGTGGAAATCACACCCTTGCAAGTGGTCGTCCCCACATAAGCAGGCACATCTTAGAGCATAGCATAGCAGAACGAAAACAATATCATCTAACATGTCCACAACACATATGTTGCCTTTTATAAGCCACGACTGTTCCAGATGTCCTGCCAAAGTTCTTCTCCTGGTATGACAACATTAGATAGTAAAAACTGTTGATGAGGAACAACTGTTACACTGCATGTCATCATGGCTTTTCTTCTTTACAGGTGCAACAATCCCTTAGATGGAATTCATGTGTTATCAGCCTTTAGATAAGGGCTATTGTGGGATTACATTAGACTAAAAAGGTGGTTTCCTGATACACTTGAATCGAACACAGTAGTAATAAAAAGGCAGCATGTTTCTCCTACCGCAATTTCTGGATATTTGAGGCGATTCCAGAGAGGCGGTAGATGCCGTCCACCACACCGTGCTTTTCAATGAACTCGGTGCAGCTCTTGAGGACCTGGGGCACTGCGAAGAGAAAGACAGTGTGCCATCACATAACCCATCAGTCAATATGTGTCCAAGTCTTCACTGAGGTCAAGAGTAGTTTGACTTTCCTCTCTGATGTGAGTACACAGTGTGAAAACACACTTTTGGAGTTGAGGGTGGAAACGTTTGAACCTTGTAAAATAGAAACAAATATAGAGTTTAAAAAAGATTTCATTTCTTTATTTGGTGCTGTTGATTGGCCTTTAACCCATTTTCTACATCGATGTAGTCTTCTGGTTGAAGCAAACGCTGAGATAACATGTTGTTGTCTGTGAGTGAGGCGCTCTGCTTTGAAGCACAATGCCAATGATTGTGTGTTAGAGATGGATAGACAAAAAAGAAAAACCTCAGAAAAACACAGCTTCTTCATTCTCCCTCATCCACCATGAATCATACAGACATGTTATTTATCTGTGTTCGTGTGTGTGTATGGGAGATAAGGAGTGTGTGTGTGTGTGTGTGTGTGTGTGTGTGTGTGTGTGTGTGTGTGTGTATGTATGTATATATATATATATATATATATATATATATATATATATATAGAGGCTCCCAGGCCTCCCACAGCTCACACATCATTCAGATGATGACAGAGAGTGGGACACTCGCTGAAGCAGCTGTTCAGGAGAATTCCACACATAGCGAAAGAGAAAACAAGGCCATAGAAGCCAGGAAACTAGTTGGCATTCGGCAAAACCAGTGAGGGTGGGTAAATCTTCTGAAAGTCCTTCACGTAGGAAGATTTTGACATTTTTCACAAAGATACACACCATGTGTTTGAAAGTGGGGTCCGTGTTGGACATACAAGAATTCATCCACTTAAATTCTAGTTAAAACAACGACATTCAAACCAGCTTTCATCTGATTTAGGGATGATTCCGATCCCTTGAACACCACTTTTAAAAGCTCTGTGCAGCAAAAAGTGAAAACCTTCTGCCACTGACTGTAAATGAGTATGATGATGTATGTGTTGCGCTCTCAAGCGCCGCTGCCATTACTGCGGCAGCAGAGTGGAACTGAACACATTCGGACTGACAGTGGAAGCAAAGATGTTTGGGCTATTAATGGGATAATTAATGTACCGCCTCTGTGGATGTGAAAGTGCTGTGTAAGAGAAGCTACAGTAATTAAACCCAGCAGGAATTACTTGCCAACTTATGATTTAAATCTTCAAACTCAATGATTTATCGTACTCAGAGGTTTAAGTTGGCAGGAACAGCTTTTTGATTTTTTTACCATCATACGGAGCTTAAAGGAAAAGCTTCTTTTTACATTTTTTATTTTAAATATTTAACAATATTATTTAATAATGTATTTATTTATATTTTTTACTCTTCTGGACTCAATAGACATCTTCAAATTACTTGTTTTGTCTGACCAACATCCCACTTTAACGTCTGCTTGTAATACATGATGGAATTTGGAAAATGTAGTAGCAAGGTAGCGGTGTAGATTGTAACTTTTATTTTAAATGTAAATGTTTGACATTTTCAGCTAATTTTACAGGATGTCTTGGCAAAAGTGCTTAAAACATGACACCCTTTACATACCGTTCAAAAGTTTGGAGTCACTTAGAAATGCCCTTATTTTTGAAAGAAAATCACTGTTTTTTTCAATGAAGATAACATTAAATTAATCAGAAATACAGTCTAGACATTGTTAATGTGGTAAATGACTATTCTAGCTGGAAATGGCTGATTTTTAACGGAATATCTACGTAGGTGTACAGAGGCCCATTTTCAGCAACCATCACTCCTGTGTTCTAATGGTACATTGTGTTAGCTAATCGTGTTAAAAGGCTAATTGATGATTACAAAACCCTTGTGCAATTATGTTAGCACAGCTGAAAACTGTTGTGCTGATTAGAGAAGCTATAAAACTGGCCTTCCTTTGAGCTAGTTGAGTATCTGGAGCATCTGTGGGTTCGATTATACTCTCAAAATGGCCAGAAAACTCGACAGTCTATTCTTGTTCTCAGAAATGAAGGCTATTCCATGCGAGAAATTGCCAAGACACTGAAGATTTCCTACAACGGTGTGTACTACTCCCTTCAGAGAACAGCACGAACGGGCTCTAACCAGAATAGAAAGAGAAGTGGGAGGCCCCAGTGCACAACTAAGCAAGAGCACAAGTACATTAGAGTCTCTAGTTTGAGAAATAGACGCCTCACAGGTCCTCAACTGGCAGCTTCATTAAATGGTACCGGCAAAACGCCAGTCTCAATGTCCACAGTGAAGAGGCGACTCCGGGATGCTGGCCTTCTAGGCAGAGTGGCAAAGAAAAAGCCATATCTGAGACTGGCCAATAAAAGGAAAAGATTAAGATGGGCAAAAGAACACAGACACTGGACAGAGGAAGATTGGAAAAAAGTGTTATGGACAGACGAATCTAAGTTTGAGGCGTTTGGATCACACAGAAGAACATTTGTGAGATGCAGAACAAGTGAACAGATGCTGGAGGAGTGCCTGACACCATCTGTCAAACATGGTGGAGGTAATGTGATGGTCTGGGGCTGCTTTGGTGCTGGTACAGTGGGAGATTTGTACAAGGTAAAAGGGATTTTGAATAAGGAAGGCTATCACTCCATTTTGCAACGCCATGCCATACCCTGTGGACAGCGCTTGATTGGAGCCAATTTCCTCCTACAACAGGACAATGACCCAAAGCACACCTCCAAACCATGCAAGAACTATTTAGGGAAGAAGCAGTCAGCTGGTATTCTGTCTGTAACGGAGTGGCCAGCACAGTCACCAGATCTCAACCCTATTGAGCTGTTGTGGGAGCAGCTTGACCGTATGGTACGTAAGAAGTGCCCATCAGGCCAATCCAACTTGTGGGAGGTGCTTCAGGAAGCGTGGCGCGAAATTTCTTCAGATTACCTCAACAAATTGACAGCTAGAATGCCAAAGGTCGGCAAGGCTGTAATTGCTGCAAATGGAGAATTCTTTGACGAAAGCAAAGTTTGAAGGACTAAATTATTATTTCTAACCTCGTCAATGTCTTGACTATATTTTCTATTCATTTTGCAACTCATTTGATGAATAAAAGTGTGAGTTTTCATGGAAAACATGAAATTGTCTGGGTGACCCCAAACTTTTGAACGTTAGTGTACATGACAGCGTTAAATGCGGGTTTATGAGTGCCACTAGTAGTGCCACTAAAAAGTTAAAAGTTAGTTGTTAAACAACTGAGTTATTGTATTAAGCTGCATTTTCATAAATTTAGCTTACTGATATTTTGGTAAGGGCCAGTCAGGAACCGGTACCAGTTTAGTACCGGTCTATATAGCCGCAGAGTTTCAGTAATCTACTTGTAAACTATAAATTATAATCATAACAGTGAGAACACCTTGACCATTTGACCCAGAAGACTTTGAGTGTCTTATCCCTCCACGTCAAGGTAAGGCAGGATTTACAGAGGTCAAGGATTGACTCCTTCACCCATGAATGAAGGATGAAGAAGAGGAGGTTTAAACCCTACAAACGTGGCTACACGAGCAGATACCGGACTCCAACGTCACCATACCGGCTTCCAGACGGTTCGAGCCGACATGGACACCACCGCGACCAGCATGAAGAAAGGAGGGGGACTTGCCGTGCTCATAAACAACAGGTGGTGTAACGCTGGGCACGTCTGTGTGAAAGAGCGTGTCTGCGGCCCGGACATCGAGCTCGTCACCGTCGGACTTCGTCCATGTTATCTGCCACGGGAACCTTCCAGTGTTGTCGCTATCACTGTCTATGTTCCTCACAGTGGTCTTCATCATCACCATCACTGTTTACATTTATGATGTCTTATTTATTCTCCTGTACAGCACTTTGGTCAACTTTGGTTGTTTTTAAAGTGCTTAACAAATAAAGCTGGATTGGATTGGATTGGATGAATGTGTGACTGTGATACAGAAGGGCCCAACACTGATCTGTGGCCAGAAGTCTGTTAATAGACAGAACTCAGTGTGATCACTGTGAAGCTAATGTGCTGGTAAGTTAAGAACCATTCATGTCTAGGCAAAGAATACGAGCCATTAACATGAATAAATGTGTTTTCAAGTCGGCGTCAACGTGAACTGAAATTAAGTTATTGATTAAGCTTCAAGAGCAGAGTAGCATCATTATGTTGGTTGGAGCTGATGTTAAGAGTGTAATCAGAACACCATCATCCTCCTACTCTGTCACTGAGAGCATCACATCAGCTCACCTGCCAGACAACACGCTGCTGCTGAGAGCTCAGAAAATCAATGTGGCTGCAGCAGATAGATTCATAGACTTTAGCCCAACAAATATCTTAATTACAGCCAGACAGGGCTGGCAGAGCTAGTGTGTACATACTGTGTGTGCTGTGTATTTCTTTAAAGAAGGTACATGATGACTTTCATCTTCAAACTATTAGCTCAAGGTTGGAATGGAAGAGGCAGCAGGTGTGTTTGGGGTGGTAAAAAAAGATTGATACAACAAAATATACAACTGAGCTCTGGCAGCCACTTCCTTAGGCATTTCATTACTGTGAGGCTGTTAGCCAACCAGCAAAGCCTCGATGAGGTCACCGCATCCGGCCAAGATATAGTCCTGTGCACAACCCCCCTGAAAAACCGCAACTTGTTGCTTTTACACTTTGATTTTTGTGCAAATTAAGCAAATAATAATGAATGACTCATGAATTAATTAATGAGATTTAGAGATGATGGTAGGTGGATTTTGTTACCTTTGGACCGAGCCAGGTGGAAGTAGTGCTGCATCATACAATAATACCAATTTAATTAAAAGTCCAGTTTAGTTAGGAGGAGTTAGTGGCATCTAGCAGTGTAGTTGCAGATCGCAACCCCATCACTTTACCCTCCCCTTCCATGCAATGAGAAAATATGGTGGCAACAAAACACATGAACGCCCCAGTGTTTGGTTTGTCCCTTCTTTACATACCTATGAATAATATATTCCATTTTTGCCAGTAGATCCTTCTAAATGTTACACACTGGACACTGAAATTCAGGTATCAGAACTGAAAAAAAGTAAACTGGTGCATCTCTAGTCTCTAATGTAACCCTGTTGCAAATAAAGGCCTGTTCTCTCTGCCGTAAATCAAGGTCCTGATTAGTGGCCACTAGGGCTGGCTATTCTTAAGAACCTCATGATTCGATTCGATTTTGATTCTTTAGGTCACAATTCAATTCGATATCGACTTTGATTCGATATTGATTTAAATGCTTCGATATCGATTCAGTAATAAGTACAATTACACAAATAATTCATTAGAGTACCTGTTGATAATTTTAAAATAATTGCCGACTTCAACGACTTCAAAACCGCTGTCTTTACCTCTGTGTACAGCTTCGGGACAGCGACTTCCGTCATGTGTTTGCGTGTTGGTATGGCGTTTCGTGGTTCGAGTGTGTATACCATCTTCTTAAAACCCCTGTTTTCCACGACACTGTACGGTCGTAGGTCCTTAGATATGAAGATGGCCACAGACTCCGTTATCTTCTGTGTGCAGGGGAGAGTTTGGCGGCAGTTTGCAAAGGAAGGATCTGTCGAGTTCCGTCTGTTTTGAATCCACAGGCTGGTTTAACATTGCTGCTACCTGCTTCGGTTGCCATGTTGTTGTTGTGTGGTCGAGTGCGGCCTCTGTTCGTACAACGCAAGTCACACAAGGGTGTTGCTCACTGTGCCACCACTGGCCAGGGGCTTGAACCGATTCAGAGGATTTAATGAATCCATATTGAATTGGGAAAGAATATATTTCAATGCATTGATAAATCGATATTTTTACCCACCCCTAGTGGCCACTATTTATTTATACAGTGTTTCCTCTATGTTGATTTTGGAGCGGCGGCCCGCCGCTGTTAAATTTCTGCCGCCACGGTATCAGAAATGGGGCAGACGCACAATGTAGTCACGGTTGCCTTTTAAATGATCCTGCCGACATAATGTACCCTCGTTGGCTGCCGCTCACATTGCAATTTAACAACAAGTAGAACTATTCAGAGGTTATTGGGGCTGTCCAGTTTAACTCCACATACTGTTGTGTTGATGTAGCTTATTGTCAAAACGTTCGCTTTCTTCCAAGTCGACTATAACAGCTCCACCAAAAACGTCACCGCGGTGGGTCCGTTTTAATTGGACAACGTTCAACTTGTCAGTTCTCAGCTCAACATCCTGATATCAAACATCTGGAAACATTAAAACGGTAAATATATTTGTTTGTGTCGCAGCGAAGTGTCACTTCTGTTTCATACGTAAAACGTTTGCCGGCGTGACGGGGACGGGGAAGGGGGGGTGTTCGGACGGGCCTGCCGCCGCAGCTAAAAAAAATCCTAGAGGAAACACTGTTTATAGATAATATTATATATTCCCTACATAAATGGATTCAGGAAATACTACTGCTCTCAGTGTTTATTGCATGTTTCTTACCATCATGTCCTGAGTTGAGGAGGTGTTCCCCCAGGTCGCAGCCGAACACCCTCTCCCGGAGGATGCCTCTCTGCTTCAGCTTCTGCTTGGTGGGCCTGGACTTCATGAAGGAGCGCAAGAAGGTGATCAACTTCCCGTGCTTCTTAGACACTGAGGAAGAAAGGACACATCTTAGGTCTCCTACACAGCTGTGTACTACTCTACAGTAAGTGTGGGTTTGACACTGGATCAGCTTTCACACAAGGTCTATCTGTGCACTAGAGTGAAACCCCATACAAGCTGCTCAGGATTGTCCTATTGTCCATTCCGGCTTCATTCTAATGCAAACCCCTCCTTTATGCATGTGTAGCTTCCTTGAGGCGAAAGCTTCGTTCTTAAATACCACCTCCCAGGCAACTACAAAAGAATCCTCCACATCCAATACCAGTATCCTCCGCTCCCCTTCAAAACAAGACAAAAAAAAAAAAAAAAAAAAAAAGAGCAGACCTTTTTAAAAACCAAAACCGCATTAGTCAGATGGTATGTCTGGGAAAGGGTCGTAAGCTTCTTAAACTACACACCAGTTGTTTTCTCTGCTTCAGAGAGATGTGGAAAGGCTATCAAGTGAATCAAACAATCTGCATTTTTGGATGGCGGGAACAATGGAGCTGGCCTCGACTCCAACCATTTGTTCAGAAAATCTTCATTGAAAATCACACTGTCAGCCACTGGTGAGACAGTAGCTAGTGTTTTTCCACTCTTGGGTCAGTTAACTTTTCAGTTCAGTTTGGGTCATCAATCAGTCTTAAACACTGATCAAAACACTGATCAAATAAGTGTCATAGTACATCTATGCCACTTTTTCAATGACTGTAGGAATACTGAAGCTCTGTGGAGATTAAACAGTTGACTGCAGGGTTAAAAACAAACTATTTCCCCATCTTAACACTGTACTTACTGGGCTGAATATTAAAGAACTCAGTTTTTTAAATCTTCACCACACTATAAAGCTTTCAATATAGACCTAAGAATGTCAAAGAATAAGACAATGTCTCCCAGTCCACTTTCATGTTTTTTGTCTCTCTGTTCTCTTGCTGGTGTCACAGTCCTCCCTCAGCTCCTGTCACTTCTTCAGGTAAAACATTCTCGTCTTGGATCTCACCCTTTTCTAGTCTCTCTTTGATCCTCTGTGGACACTTGCATTATGCTGCCCTTCACACTGACTTTGACCAACAACTCTCTTATTCCTTAACTCTGCGGCTGTCTACAGTGCGACTATCCTGGCTGAATCCTGGAGACAGATAAAAGATCGTAGAGCACTTAACAGCCACATGTCTCATTCAGGAAAGAAACAACAATCGCTGAGTTTACTACTTAGGGGAAGGCAGTAAAAACATCCACTAGCTATCTGATCTATGATCCTTGTGTTCTTTCAGCCACACCATCTGCAACTTCACTAAATCTTTAAAAACAGAGTGACCACAGCAACATATCCTGTCTTAGGTGCTCTGGCTAAAGTGGAAAAACTTCTGTGTCGCATCAGTAATTTTACTTATATTCCAGGCCACATTCCTTAAACTGATTATAAACACAGTCAAGATCACTCCCCTTCCACTTCCCTTCTTGACATTGTATTTATTTTACCTGCTCCAGACTTCAGAGCAACACAAACACAGGGTGCTATTTAAAGAAGTCAGCATTTAAAATTCAATCAAATAAATAACTTGTCTTTGGAGAGATGCAGTTTCTATTTACTGCGCCTCACTGAGCTCTGCTTCGATTGCAATACAACTGAAAGTAGGCCAGTGCTCACCAAACTCCAGAAACAAAACAATACAAGTTAAAGAAAGCTAAGGCTGAATTGTGTTTGGAAGATAACAAGAATACAATGGTGTCAAGGCAGCGTCTTTACTTGCAGCTCTTTTAGCGATGATTTGACAGAAGCGATGATTAATTTATAGATACTTACACAGCATCCTGAAGCACATGTGTGTACTGTTATGAATATATTAATTTAAAAGAACCATCCAAAAACATCTGCTGTGTGAGACTTGGCCCTCCTGCCCAGAGACCATTCGTTAACCACAAATTAATGAGACTGCCTGTTTTGCATGTTAAATGTACACTATGGAGGTAAATTGCATGCAGCAGAGTTAATTGACAGTCCATCGAGTACATTTAGAATGCAAATATAAAGCCCGGAGTAAAACTAATGAGCTGATGGGAATGGAAAGTTACTTTGTAGCTGAATTAATTTAACTGTTTCTCATTGTGTTGGCAGAATACTAACAAAAATATATGCGCACGGTGACAGTGAACGTCTCAGATATACTATCAGCAGGCAACTCTGTTCAGTGACACTTTTCTCACATTTGCTCTTTTAAATCAAACGCTTCCGAGGGACGAGTGAAAGTACAGGGGAACTCTGCATGTGTGAAAAAAGTTAGTATAGAATGTATTTGTTACTCCAGAAGGCGCTGTGTGAAATCTGATAAATGTCCTTGAGTGTTGTCACTTGAGACAGCGTCGACTGGGGCTGAAGACTACTAAACTAAGTTTAAAAAAAATTAAAAATCTGTGGCTGTGGAGTTACAAAGAAGCAACTTTACCAGACATCTCTGCTACATTAGCAGCTGCTAGCATATTACACCCGACTCTCTTACCAAACTGTCGCTGGTTGAGTTGCATTGTGGATAATGTTAGGAAGAATGTGTGGAATAAAAAGGCAATATTATTGGTTCTGCTGCTGTTGCAACTGTCCATCATGAGTAGGAAGGGGAATTAGGTTGAGAACTGGTTTCTTTCAAGACGAAAGAACACAACAGTGATGGCTGTAATGTCTGATAAATGATCATTTCAAGTAAGGGTGAAAACACCGGCAATATGCTGAAACATCTTTCTATGCAACATGGGCTCAAATTCCAGGAATGCCATGTATTTGACACTCTACGCATGAGTGCCGTTGCTTCCCAACTGAGCAGCACGTCCATACTGAGAGGAGATATCCTGTTATAATAATATTAGTGCCATGCAGGCAGGCTTAGCAGGCTTTTTCTTTGACTAAGACGACCTAAATGAAAATGTATGCTGTATAAATAATCTTTCATAATCTCATTGCGTTGATGCTGAAATCCTCTGTAGGCCTACTTTTTTTTTTTTCACATAGAAAATTGATCGGGTATCAGTTAAGGAATCCACAAAGAATCAGGCCAATAACTAGAATCGATAGCAGAATTGGATTCCCTAATTGTGAGTCTGACGTGTTATAGGAGTGTAACACTTTATGAGTGGAGTAATCTTTTAAGTGTTAGGGAAAGAGTTACTGAGTTAAAAAAACAAAAAACGGGACAGTGTTTAGGTTGACATCCAATTCACATTGTTAAAAATAACAGACATTTCTCCTGAAATGAAGTTCAGACTTTGCTTCCATTCTTTGCACGTCTACCAATCTGCCCACTACGAGTCATTCTGCCCACTGCGTGACACGTTTTCTCATTTCACTTTTTTGTAGCTGATAATCAAATATATTCTGTCTGTTTAGTAGTTTCGTACAGTAGAATTATTTTGGCTGGTGCTCAAAACACACACACAAGTCTCTGACAACAACCAAACCCTTGCCAAGACAGATTTATAACTACCTCACTATTCCAAGTAAATAAATAATGCTTGAATCAAACTTCTGAGTCCTGTGTCTCTATTGTGTGCCATTTTAATGAAGCGGCACAATCAATTCTGAGCCAACAGTGGGCCTCTGCTCCTGCATCCGCAAACAAGACCCATCGTTCCATTTCAGGGAAAAATGGAGCTACAGTTCACCCCTCAGGGAGAAATTCCTTCTGTGCTTCTGTACCCGCAGACAAAACAGCTGAGGCAGCTTTGTTTACTCACTGTTGAGGCATCAAAAAGGGCCTTCAGTATCACGTACAGGGGGAGGAGGAGGAGGAAGGGGGGGCTGTTTTAGCGATGTGCTGGCCTACACTAACACATCACTTTTTATTTAGGAACCCAGACTGACTGGAAGAAGTGAGGAAGAGGAGTGCAATGACAAGCATGACTCTCCAGAGGACGGACAGAGACTCCCATCTGCTTACTGTCAAGGCAGATGACAGCCTGAGGGCCAGCAGCTCTTCAAGCATGCTCAGCACTGAAACGGCCTCTGACACACTCACTGCTGAAATCCAGCTGGGTAAAGGCATTTCATTTAAGAATAGTGGGACTGATAAAGATTCCTTCCTGTGCCTTTAATTACAAGAGTTATAGCTTTGGGGGGCGCTTAAAGGGCTATTCCAGTGATTTAGTATTGCACTTTCACAAAGTTTCAGGGGACACATTTGATAAAGGATGGACAAGCGGAAGTTGAGATACCCTGACTTATTATAGTCCGTAGTATGTGTCAAACCACACATTTCATTCGACCCTCACTTCCTGGTACATATGAGCTGCTTTTAAACTCCACATCTCCAGTTTGTATCGCAGGCTTTTTAATTATAACTTTGTAATCTCAAGCCCAAATCATATAATACTAACCCTCATCAGGGTTATTTTCTCAGATTTAAAAAAGCTCCCCGTTTTACACAGGTACATTAGTAGTACTAACCATTAGCGGTAAAGAGTACCCCTTTAACACAAACAGCTGAGATTAAAGCTGCAGTAGGTAATTTTTATGAAAATATGTTTTGTCATATTTGTTGATACTTTCACTATATCCTGACAGTAGTACATGAGACAGATAATCTGTGAGAAAATCAGGTTCCTCTGGCTCCTCCTAGTGCTCCTAATGGTATTTGCAAGAATCTACCGTGCCTGGACAAAAACAACCAATCAGAGCCAAGAACGATAGTTGACTGTTGACCAACATTCTCAGGGGGGCATCAAATACAGGTGGAGGAGGAACCGGAGTGTTTCACAGATTATCTGTACTACTGTCAGGGCATAGTCAAAGTTTCAGCAAATATGACAAAAAAGTTTTCATAAAAAGTTACCTACTGCAATTTAAAATGGTTTCTGTAGAATAATTCTGGATATTCACAAAACCCATAAAATCTGATGTATCTGTATATTTCTGACATGTGACACACTAGGAGGGGGATGGGGGTACAGCTGTTCACAGCTAGGCAAATGAGGGCCAATTTCCCTAGCTGTCATTTGTATATAACAGATACAATCCAGAC